GCAGAGGGGCACACACTTTTAATCTCAGCAGAGGCTGGCCAGCCTACATAATGAGACCCTGTCTCAAAAAAAAAATTTAGCCCGGGGGTGGTGGTGCACGCCTTTAATCCCAGCACTCGGGAGGCAGAGGCAGGCGGATCTGTGTGAGTTCGAGGCCAGGCTGGACTGACAACCTCCAAAACAATTCAGAGAAACCTTGTCTTGTAAAACCAAAAAAAAAAAAAAATTACCTCCAGAATAGTAATTTCAGTGTGTGTATGATGTGTGTGTACATATTCCAATATATACTAAAAAAAATCACAAAACCTAAAGCACAGAAGTCAAGCAGTCTCAATAAAGAATATTCAACTACATAATGAACTAAATAAATTATTGGGGGGAAAAATCTCTGTATACTCATTGATTTTTGAGGTGATGATCACTTTGTGAACATTTTTCTTCGCCCAACCCTTCTCTGCAGAGGCTGGCTATGTGGCTACTCCCATAGCCATGGTTCAGGCTGCTATGACTCTTCTGAATGATGCCTCTGACCTCCCTAAAGGGTAAGTTTGGATTTCTAGTGAGAAATTTATTTCAACCTGGTGACATTTTAGCTACTTTTGAGTTGGTTTTTAGTCTTGGGTCTAAACACAAGTTTTTGTGTTCTTTGACCGAAAGATGTATTAAAGCAATGCCAAGGACAATTCCTTAGCTGCCTTAGGATTTACGATGAAGGTGAGTGAGAGCCACATAAGCTGCTTACCATTCTTTATTAAAAAACAAAAACTCAAGTCTAGAGCCTGGCAATCAGAAAAGGGCAGTGTTATCCGAGGCTCCTAATCAGTGCTGAGCATACACCTTAGGGGTAGGGGAGCTGAGCAACTGGGAACTGAGTCGTGGGTGCTGCAGAGGCATTTATGGAGTGTGCTCTCTTACTGAGCATTTAGCTGGTGCCCTGGGAACTAAGGCAACCTCACCAGTGCCCAGAAGCCCAGGGCTGAGAAGCAGGTCAGGCATAGCCTCGGACAATACTAATACACATAGAAGTTGAGTGTTGTAAAACCTAATGAAAATTTTCAAGTACTCATTTGACATTTTTGCAAGTATTGGCCATTATAGTTAAAGCAGTTTCTTTTTCATCAACGTTAAGTGCTTTTTAGCAGTAGTTGGCTAGCTGAGTGAATCTATTCATGCTTTTATTTAGTCCTCGTGTGAAGACTCAGGTGTGTGGTGCTCAGAGTCCCTTGAGCACCTAGAGTATGGAGTCTTGTGAGGAACTGAACTGAGCTGCAGACGGATTTCTTTGAAGTAAAAGCTCATTTGTCTGGTTTTAGGAATGGAGCCAGAAATATCTATGATGGGGGAGTTAGGCAGTGACTCAGTTGCTAGTCCTATAGAGGCGAGGGCTGGAGAGGGGCCACACGAACTGTGTTCTCTTGTTACTGTTTTACAGGGGCGGTGTCTTTACACCTGGAGCCGCTTTCTCCAGAACAAAGTTGATTGACAGACTCAACCAGCATGGCATTGAATTTAGTGTCATTAGCAGCTCGGAAGTCTAAACATTTGAATATTAACTGAATCATAAAATGCACGAGTAACAGCTTCTGTATCTGCTATTATGTAAAATCTTCTATAAACCTATCTGACTGTATGTTTCGGAAGACTGTCAAGTCTGAAATATCTATACATTAAAAGCAGGAAATTATTCTAGATTATCCTAAACTTCACCTCAGCTGTTTTTATGATTTTATTGCTTGTGAGATAAAAATGATATTCATCCTTACCTTTTTATTGACAAAAGAACTGGAAGGTCAGATAGTGAAGGGTCCCTGTTTGTGTCCTAACAGCATTCCTTAGTGGTGGGGCTCGACTGCTGTTAGGCTACGGCAGTGACTTCTGCCTTCCTTGCCAAGGTGTTGTGGAGCCTTACCCTCCTGGAGCTCCTCTGCATAGGGTGTGAGCATTTGCTAAGTAAAACTGTGCTTTTTCTATTTCAGTCTGCTTTCTCATCCATCTACATGGACTGATTTTGGATTGTTTACCTAAGTTGAATAATAAAGGGTTGTTAATTGAATGATGGATTTTTGTTTGAACTTCCATACTTATTTTTGTGCAACAACACTGCTTTAAAGTGGTCTGACCTATTGGGCTAGTGCATCTTTTTGTCCCTGATTTCATTCATAACTGTGATTAATCTGAAGCAGATGGCTTTTGACTTTCTATTGATCTTGACAACCTCAGCAGAATGTCAGATTTCTCTTTTTGCATTTCTGCCACATTTGGCATTGAAATGCTAAGGAAAAGAAAATTTCCTCTCCTAATAATCACATGACATACAGACATACATATACTCAAAGACCGGGGATGATGACAGCTGGGTGACAGTGGCTCTCTCCTTTAATCCCAGCACTCAGGAGGCAGGTGGATCTGAGTTCAAGGCCAGCCTGGTCTACAGATTAAGTTCCAGGACAGCCAAGACTACCAAAGATACCCTATCTTGAAAAAACAAAAAACAAAACAAACAAAAAAACCACAACTGGTTCCAGGGTAGCCAGGGCTACATAACTAGACCCTGTCTCAAGAAGAAAAAAAAATGAATCTAAATACATGTGCACATTATAGAATAAACAAATAGCATCCATAAACTCAGATTTATGAGTGTGATGAGAACACTTACAGTCCCCTGGTCACTGTTAACTGGCCAGTTAGCCTGAGACGGAGCACACAGATTTACTCCTTTGACAAAGGACTTTTCTTTCCAATTCATCTCCTCAAACTCCTGGCAGATACCACCCACCGTCAGTTCTGTCAGTTATTTTTTTGTAGGCATGAGATTGTATAATAGTTCTTCCTATATTTTGATTATTCGATTACCACAATATCTTCTAGGCTTATCTGTGTGTGTTGTCACATTAGAATTTCCGGATTTTAAAGAAAACTTGTATTTGTTCTTTGACAATTTCCTACATGTCCATAATACATTTTGATTTCTCTCACCCCGCCTCTCTCATCACCCTTTGACCCCTGTCACCCCACCAGCCGCTTCCCCACACTCACACCCTTTTTGTTCTGTAACCCACTGAGTTTAGCTGTGGCCTTCTGGGTACCCATGGTTTTGGAGTTATTCATTGGAGCCCAGTGGGCTTATCAGGGAGTACACAACTGAAGACAGTGACTGGGCCCCCATTCTGTCAGTAGTTCAGCAGGGAGTGGAGGGGGGGGACGAGCCCCTACCCAATCTGTGACTGATAGCTGACAGGCCCAGTGTAGGTAGCCACAGCTATTGTGATCATGGTTGCAATGGCTGTGTCATGCCCAGAATTCTGTTATCATTCTTCCTCTCTTCCATCTCTTCCAATCTTTCAGCCCCCTTTTCTACTATTCACTGAACTTTAGAGAGGGACATCTGAGGGGAGAAGTCCTGTGTATATGTCAATAAAGCACTGTTGGCCAATAGGGAAGCAAGATAGGTGGGACTAGGAGTCGAGGTGGGACTCTGGGTAGGAGAAACACAGGGAGTCAAGATGTAACCGCCATAGGGATAAGAAGCCCGGAAACTTCTCTGGTAAGAGAAATACTTAGATTAACAATTGTGGGATAAATGCTTAAGTCAGAGCTAGCCAGTAAGAAATAAGCAAGGCCAACAGCTTCATAACTAATACAGCATCTTGTGTGTTATTTGGGGACTACAATGCGGCAGAGCCCAGGAAACTGGTGGGGGGAAAAAACCAAGCAACTGGCTAGGAAAAGGCTTCTCTCAACAGACATCATAGATGTCCTGTTTAGGGATGCACATTTAATCCTCATTTATCATCAGCACCTTGACCAGCCATGATTCTCCGCATTCACAGCCATTCATTGCCGGAGAGAAGCTTCTCTGATTATGATTTTCATTTGCATAAAGGTATAAATATGAATATTCAGAAGGTAGTTTGGCACCATATCAAATTAGTTAATCAGTCCTGTTTTTCTTAAGTTGGAGGAGGACTCCTTTGTGTAAATATGCCATATTTAAAAACCTGGCCATGCATTGTGGACACTTACACCCTGTCTCAGCTTGAGAATAATGCTATAGTGAACACAGATTATGGCTAGCTTTCAACATGCTGATTTCAGTTGTTTTGAGTATATAATAGGATTGCTTGATCTGTTTCAAGGAACCTTTGTGGAAGTACTGCATACATTAAGTGATAAAATTGTGAGAATTGAATAAGTTAAATGTTTGGAATTATGATTAGTGTCTGGCACCTGGTATGTGTGTTAAGGCTCACTATTAATTTTTAAACTTTTTAAAAATTGTATGTTCATTGGTGTTTTGCCTGCATGCATATCTGTGTGAAGTTGCTGGATCCTCTGTTTCAGACAGAGTTACAGGTCTTTGAGTTACAGACAGTTGTGAGCTGCCATGTAGGTGCTGGGAATTGAACCTGGGTCTTTTGGAAGAGCAACCAGTGTTCTAAACCTCTGAGCCACCTCTTCAACCCCAAGGTTCCCTTTTTTCATTTGTTTTATTTTGTTTTGTTTTTTGAGACAGGGTTCCTCTGTATTGTTCTGGAGGCTATACTGGAACTCACTCAGTAGACCAGACTGGCCTCAAACTCAAAGATCTGCCTGCCTCTGCCTCTCGGGTGCTGGAATTAAAGGCATGTGCCACCAACGCCCGGCCAGTTCAATATTCTTGTTACTAGAAGTTTTCCTGGCCCAGAAAGGTTTCCTTGTAGACCCTTCCTGGAGTACTCAGTGTCTGTCCATCTCTTAGGACTCACCAGCCACTGGCAGAATAAGTTTCTGCTGCAGAATGGACTGTGTACTGAAAAGAGTTTGCTAACAATTAACGCTGCACCATGGAAAAGCTATAGCACGGCACTGCTACTGCTGAACCAATTGAATGTATTTCAGATAAACAGTAGAAAACAAGTGGAGGCAGCTTGTGGATGGGTGGACTTGTTCAGAGCAAGAGTACAAAATAAGAACTGTAAACTAACCATTGTCTATTTCTGACAACAAAAGCAAAACTCATCAGACAGGCTTTATTTAAAGTGTGGAATGGAAAAGCCAAACATGTCAACTCACATCTGCAATAATAGTACTGGGGATATGAAGCAAAGGACCAGGGCAGCCTGGGTTAAGAGTGAGACCCTGTCTCAAAAAAAAAAAAAACATACTGGAGAAATGGCTTAAAAGCAAGTACTGGTCTCACAGAAGACCCAAGATCAGTGCCTAGCACCCAAGGTGGAGCCAAAAGCTGCTAGTAACTCTAGCTCCAGATGATCCAACTCCCTCTTCTAGCCAAAAAGGTACCACACATGGTTACAGACACACATAATACAATCTTTTTAAAAAGAAAAAAGTGAACTATTTTCCAGGAAAGCACTGATGATAAATGCATGCGAGTCTCTGCTAGGAGGTTGGTAATCATTAACCATTCCAGATAACTGATGAGGAGAGAGGCTTAGGGAAGGTGAGTAAGTCGCCCCATGTTGCACAGTGTGTAAGTGATGAATTTAACCAGGATTGAACCGCGGGCAATCAAATCCAGAGTTCCAGGTTCTGAACATTTACCACAGACATGTCCTCCCCCCATTCCGTGTATGTCTTAATTTTATAGGATTTTTAAATCCAGTTAAGGCCCAGTGTGGTGGGGGCACAGGTCTGTGATCCCCACATTGGGCCTGGGGATACAGAGGCAAGATAAGGCCAATCTGGTTCCCATAGCAAGTCCTTATCAGAAAAAAGGCCAAGTGGAGGCGTCTTATCCAAAACTGGTAGATGCAATTACGTGAGTCAATGACGCTCATTAACTCAGCATGTTTGCAGTTTTTAGTTTGCCCATCCTCACTGTTGGATGTGCAGTAGATACTCCTTCTTCTTCTTCACTATGAAAGCAACATCATTTTTCAGCTTCTGTAAGCTGGATTCAAGCAGGTCCTCCAAATCCTTTAGCATCTGTGACTGTTGGTGCACAAAAGGTCGAAGCATTTGATCGTCTTCCTAAAAAATAAAAGAAAAAAACGACAGTAGACTTCATATGACTAGAGTAAATATACTTGGTGCCTGTGAATGAGGTGTCAAGTAAATGTTCCCATGTGACTGCAGAGCTGCACTGGACCATTTTGAGCAGTCAGAAGGGACCTAGAGGAAGGGCTTCAGGAAGGCCGTCTGAATCTACCAAGAGTAGATGAAATAAATAGTTCACAATTTCACATTGGAATGCTGTGTTGTTTCAGTACAATAGACATTCTGAAACTTGCACAAGAACTCCCAGATGTAGGCATTTACTGATGTCTTCCCTGCCCTGTGGAAGTACCCTGAGAAGGTTTCCCAGAGTCCAAGGAGCATCAGCAGAGGGGAGGGTTGGGCAGACAGGTGATATAGCATTGGGCTCCAGTTTGTTTCCTGGATTGTCAAGAGAATCCTGTCCATTTGGATCCTTTGCCAATTTCCTCCAATGAATTTTCTATGTTTCTTCTTCCTATTTCAAAGCACATCATTTATATATTCTGAACATTTATACTTGATATTTATGGGCTAACAGTCAGGAAGTTTCAGGTTTTAGAGCATTGTGGCTTTTTGAGAGAGAGATGTTCATCCAGTTAAAGTCCATGAAAATATCCCCAAATCAAAAAGCCCTGAAACATTTTATATAAGGGATAATGGACCTAGTATACAAATTGGTTTGTACTTATTTTTGTGTGGAAAGTAAGAAGAGTATGCATGCAGGAACCTGGGATCAGTCTCAGTTGCTCATAAGGAGCAGTCTACTTTGGCTTTTTGAGTTGGATCTCTGTTGTGAAGCTCACTGAATAGGCTAGGCTGACGGGTCAGTGAGCCCCAGGGATCCTCTGGCTGCCTCTCCCTAGGCCTGGAATTTTACACACTCACTGTACCATGCTTGGCTGTTTATATATGGTTCTTGGGTTAAACTCAGGTCCTCATACTTATGCTGCAGGCACTCTTCATCTAAGCTGCCTTCCCAGTCCCCAGCGCTTATTCTTAACTTTATGTATGAGACCTGTCCGAGTTAGGACTTCTGTTGCTTCCCCATCAAAATCCAAACACAAGTCTTCACAATACTCAACGTCATATGAAAAAACAAAACACCCAGGATAGCTAGAACAGTCCTGTACCATAAAGGAAATTCCAGAGGTTATCACCATCCCTGACTTCAAACTCTACTATAGATTTATAGTAATAAACATACCTTGGTATTGGCATAAAATAGATACATGGATCAGTGGAACTGAATAGAAGAGCCTGACATAAATCCACATACCTATGAACACCTGGTCTTTGACAAAAAAAGTATACAATGGAAAAAAGAAGGCATCTTCAACAAATGGTACTGGCATAACTGGATGTCAACATGTAGAAGATTGCAAATAAATATGAATCTATCACCCTGCACAAAACTCAAGTCCAAGTGATAAAAGACCTCAACATAAATCCAGTTACACTGAACCTGATAAAAGAGAAAATGGGAAGTAATCTTGAATATATTGGCACAGGAGACTACTTCCTGAATATAACACCAGTAACACAGACACTAGATCAACAATAAATGGGACCTCCTGAAACTGAGAGGCTTCTATAAGGCAAAGGACACAGTCAACAAGACAAAATGGCAGCCTATAGAATGGGGAAAGATTTTCACCAACCCCACATCTGACAGAGGACTGATTTCCAAAATATATAAAGAACTCAGGAGCAGGGCGGTGGTGGTGCACGCCTTTAATCCCAGCACTTGGGAGGCAGAGGCAGGCGGATCTCTGTGAGTTCGAGGCCAGGCTGGACCGACAGCCTCCAAAGCAATACAGAGAAACCCCGTTTCGTAAAAACCAAAAAACTCAAGAAACTAGACATCAAAATATCAAATAATCCAATAAAAAATGGGATACAGATCTAAACAATTCTCAACAGAAGAATCTCAAATGACCAAAAGACACTTAAGAAAGTGCTCAACATCCTTAGCCATCAGGGAAATGCAAATCAAAACAACTGAGATACCATGTTATACCTATCAGAATGGCTAAAAAAAACACAATGACAGGAGAGACTGAAAAAAGTATTTTTGCAAACTGCTATAAATGATCAAAGACCAAAACTAAAAAATACAAATAAATAGCATTGAAATTAAAAGTTTAGCAGACTCAGAAGCAGATGTAACAATAATTTTACCAAAGTCTTGGCATTGAGATTGGCCTCTTCGGGAGGTAAATACTCATCTTCTAGATATTGAAACTTTATCTCAAGTAAAATAAAGTAAAAGGACAAATAGGAAAATTAAAGCCACATGTGGCTAATATGGCTATGAATTTATGGGGATGTGATTTGTTGCAGCAATGAAAAACACAGATTAATACTCCTCTTATGTGCCTGTCTCTGCTTCCCAAGTACTGGAATTAAAGGTGTGACCCACCACCTGGCTATGGATTCCTAATAACAGAATTCTCATAGGTTTTGAATAATTTACCAAAGGTACACTTTACTGGCATGAAATGAAAAATGGATTTTCTTAAGCCAGGTATCTTAATTCTATGTTAGAATGTTAGATTGTAGCTTGCTTTGAGACGGTGTAGGAGGAAGGTCCTTTTTTTCAGGGATGTGGGTGAAGGAGGAAGGTCAACTGGGTGTTTGCTCTGCCTCTCTGAGCTAGCAGGCTTTCACCCCAGCATCTGGGTCTGGAGTCTCTTGGTAAAATTAAGTGAGATTTTGTTAAAAACAGCACACTCCCTGTGAGCCTATGGGGGCCAGTCACGATCAAACCACCACAGGGCCTTTCATCCAGCCAGTATTTCCCTCTTATTGTAAAGCATACATGAAAAGGAACGCCCAGGTCTAGTTACTGTGAATCCATGTAAAGCAGGGTTGGACCTCAGCTCCTGCCTCTCACATATTCTTGCTCTCCCATAAGCAGCTGCAAGCCTGGTCTTCCTGATAAATTCTTTGTCTTTCTAAGGAGCTCTGCCCCTTAACCTGTACCTGAACAACAGTGTCTTTAGTGTGGGTTTGTGAGAACTAGGTTATTAAGTGTAAAGTGCTCAACACTGGTATTTGCTGCCTCACTGTGCTGACTGAAACCTGAAATTGCAGAGTGGATTAGCCAGAAACCTAGGCTTTTCCTTGTTTGAAAGGAATGTTATCAGTTGTTTATCATGGGGCCCTCCGTCTGCCTATTTCCTGATGAGAATGAGGACTGTCCATTTGATTCCTAGCTCATCAAGAATTCTGTTGTGTTTTGAGACAGGGTTTCTCTGTGTAGCCCTGGCTGTCCTGGAACTCACTCTGTAGACCAGGCTGGTCTCTGTCTCCCAAGTGCTGGGATTAAAGACAGGCGCTACCACTGCCACCCAGCTAGGACCCATACTTTTAAGACACCCATGTGCTTATCCACTCTCTCACACACACCTCCTGTAGGTTTAATGGAGTGTTGTTCGGGTGTTGCAGGGAGGCTGGGTACTCACAGGAGGTCTGCACTGCCTCAGTCTGAGGAGCTGTCCTCTGGCCATGCTCATGCCTCGATAGAACACCTTCAGAGCTCTGGCCAGCTGCACATCACAGCTGGTTTGCTGAGCACACATTTGCTTAGCCTCTCTGGCTGTCGGCAGCTGTGCTGACACTGCAGCTCTCTCTGGATTATCTGGCCTCTGGGCTAGGGCACAAAAAAAAGTATTTTTCATCTGTATTCAAGCATTTCTGTGCCTTTTGTGTTTTGTTTTGTTTTTGTTGAGACACGGTTTCTCTATGTAGCTCTAGCTGTCCTGAAACTCTGTAGACCAGATTGGTATCAAACTTAGAGATCTACCTCTGCCTCCGGAGTACTAGAATGTGCCACCACACCCAGCTTTGGTGATAGTTAATGTCTCATCACCATATTTCTTTGGACCCACTCAAAGAAATCTTACAGGGCAAAAGAAAAAAGGGTTCTATTTTTTTGTTTACAGTCTAAGATATGAATTAACTCATTTAAGATTTCCTATTCTTATGGAGCTGGAGGCATGGCTCAACACTTAAGAGCACTGGCTGCTCTTCCAGAGAACCTAGGTCCAATTCCAAGTGCCCACATGGTGGCTCACAACCGTCTGTAGCTCCAGTCCTAGGGGACCCATCTGACACCCTCCGCTGGCCTCTGTGGACACACATACACTCAGGTATGCATACTTATAATAATGAATGTTATTTTGAACTAATTCCTATTCTAGACAAATAGCACATCCCAAACGCGGGAGTTGGGAATGAGATGAACCACCTGAGTGGTGCTATTTCTCACCCTGTTGAGCAGAACCAGTTGTTTCCAGTGAGGTCTTGAGAAACAGGTTTTCTTGTCTGAGGGCTCGGTTAACATCCCTGAGTAGCTCCGTCTCCTGCTCTAACTTGAGCAGCTTCTGATAAATTTCTGGCACCTGGTTTGACATGATCTACAGAAGATACATCAGCTCAGCTTTTGTGGAATTACCTGCAGAGCCTTCCAGAATAATGGTTCATACTACCTCATGTAAACAAGGATGGAATGGGGAGGCAGGGAGAGGTTTAGATCCCACAGGACACACAAAGGCACAAACCCCACTTTCGTTCAAGGGATGACTTCTTTTTTTTATTTTATTTTATTTTCCAGTTTAAATTTAGATAAGAAACGAGGTTGCTTCACAAGTCAGTTCCAGGTCCCTCTCCCATTCCCTCCCCTCCTCCCGTGCCCTCCCCCCAATTCCCCCCCCGTTATCCCTCATTCCCCCAGGGAGGGTGAGGCCCTCCATGGGGGTGTCCATAGTCTGTCATTTCATATAGGGCAGGGCCTAGACCGAAGGGATGACTTCTTAAGGGGCTGTCACCAAGCTTGTTCGGCCCCTTGTGATCTGCCCTGTGTACACACCTGGCTCACAGTCTTCAAACTGGAAAATTTCTTGGTGTCTACCATGATGTGGCCCTCGCCTGGGAGCAGGATGTCCATCTGAGAGAAGCCTAGCTCAGCACAGCCTTCTGCAGTGTGGGAGAGAAATTAGAGTCTGAGCCGCTGAGCTGAGGTTAACTTTGAAGATGACGTTACCCACAGACACCGCCCCCCAGCAGCATTAGATCTGGTTGAACAACACACTGTAGGAAAGAATGAGTAAAAAGGTACCTTGGAGGCCCCACAAATCAACAATAAGGGCATTTGTCAGTAAATAATCCAGAAACTCTCGAGATGCACTCAAGGCTACAACATGGACAGTCTCTTCAATTTGGGGATTCACACTTTTCCACACAGGCTTGGTATATAGAGGGTTTGGGAGATCATAAATTTTGTACCTGAGGCAAGAATATAAAACATAGTTGACTACCAGAAAGGGCCCATCTGTGAAGAGAAGAGTCAGATGGGCCAGCTAGATGAGAAGCTGCCTTGTGTGGAGTCTTGTGGTTTCTGCCTCCAACCCTGTTATTCAGCATGAACATCATTTCATAGAGCTTGTAAGTCCAACAGGGAGGAAGAGTTTAATCAATGCTTAGAGTCAATGTGGATGCTCGAAAGTGCTAAGTCTCCTTGGGAGGTGTTCAGTTTTTTATTTTTACTTGTTTGAGACAGGGGTTCTCTCTATAGCCCTTGCCGTCCTGAAACTCACTCTTTAGACCAGGTTGGCCTTGAACTCAAGAGATCTGCCTGCCTCTGACTCCTGAGTGCTGGGATTAAAGGCGTGCACCACCACCACCACCACCACCACCACCACCACCACCACCACCACCACCACCACCACCACCACCACCACCTGGCATTTTTCACGTCTTGAGGAACCCTTTCTTTACCTTTCAATATCCTTTGAACCTAATGAATTTAACTCTTTCTGGTTGTGTCTATACCATTATAATACACTTTACTTAAACAACATAGCTTGGGTGGATTTTTTCTGTGACAATTAAAAAATCTGACCCTGTTGCTTTACTCATGTAAGAGACTCCGGAGCCATCCTAGTAATGTGGAGGGCAATGTGGCTTCTCTACCTCATGGGGAAAGTAGCCATTCTGAAGTTGAGCAAACTCATCTTGTAAAGGAGAGCCGGCCCCTCCCACCGGGAGCCACATAGGTGGTGTGTGCAGCAGGTGATGTACCCCATCTGAATGCCCCGGGTCGAATCTTCCTTTAGCCACTTGACACCGAGGCACCCAACAATGTGAATCTGGAAGTCAATCCTCTTGCCCAGGAGCTCCAGAGGGTCAATAACCATGTCTTCCTCACCACACGCCCTACAGACAAGAGTTGAACATCAGTCTCTGCATTAGGCTGGACCCAGGCTAATTAGCACTCAATGTCTCAGGAATGAAAGAGTCCTTAAGAGACAGACAGAGATAGATGATTGTCCTAAAGAAGGGTTGGGTGGTAATATCTGCTGTAGAATCCATTCACTGAGGAGCTGGTTCTGCATGTGCTTCTGGAAAAGATACCATCTCCAATAGCTCACAAGCCCAGAGAAGAGTCCAAACATCATGCAAATAGTGTGTATGGATATGGTGCTAAACCCACACTGAAGACTGAGGTTGGTCCCACTGGGGAGGGGGAGGGCCAGCTGCCTGCTCACATGCTGCAGCCTAATCTGTCATCTACCTTTGTAAGTCACTCCTGGTCCAGAGTCATCAGAAGCCAATTGGGACAGCTTTCTAACTGGGGACTTCATGTCAACCCTGCTCAGAAAGTCTAAAACTTACACAGAAGAATGTCACATGCTGTTCATTTTCAGTGTGACCCCTGGGCAGCTGAGATAGCTGGTGTAGACAGGTGACTCTTCCATGACCTGAAGTCCTATAGACACTGAGGTTGTGGTCAGCTTGGCCTTTTGGACCCAGACCACTGAGGTCTCCTATCCCTTCTCAAGTAGGTTTCCTCTTCAAGACAAAAGGTCACACTGGATGTTTGTGCCCAGCCCAGGACTCCTGCCACCTCTGTGCTTAGGATTGCTAAAATACCTTCTTTTATATAAACATCCTATGATCTAAAACAAAAAATAAATAAAACGAGTTCAAGGACAGCACAGATGGAGTCCAGACACCCAACACTCCCCTCAAGCCAAGGAGCAAAGTTCTGGCCTCTGCCAAGAATAGAGATGGGTGAGCAAAAAACCAACTTTCTGCTTCTGGCTCTGATGCCTGCTAAGTGTGACAAGCACCCGGTGGGGTGGATGCCAGACCTCCAACGTGCCAGGAGCAGGCTGTGGGTAAGCATGTCCACAGCATAGGCTTCCTTCCAAGGTGCCCCTCACAGAACCAACCCAGGGTTAGGACTTAGGGTTCCTCACTCCATCTTCTACCCTGTGTGATGTCCTCATCCCTTGGTTCCCCAGGGCAGTGCCGAGCTGTCTCTGATGCTGAACATTTGGCAAGAATAGGATTCAATAAGGCCAAGTCATAAATGAGCTATTCACTTGTCTCATCAGTAACCCCTTAAGGGACCAAGTTGGCTCCCCTCCCGCTTGATGAGAACGCGGCTCTTTCTGAACTCTCTGGGAGGCACCAGACTCACCATCCCTCCGGGGAGCAGGGAGCTATCCGGATGTGCAGCACGGCCTCTTCCAGTCCGTCACAGTTCAGAAACTCCACCTGCTCCTCCAGCATCATGCAGTAAGCCAGGGACTGTAGCCAGATGTGTGCTGAGCCCAAGTGGACAACCTCCACAGGGTCCCAGAAAGGGTCATCTTCCTGAGCCACCTGGCTGTCTTCACTCTCTAGGAAGCGCTGGTAAAGTTCCTCCATCAGGAATTTCCTATTGATAAACTTGGCTTTTGACCAAATCCATACCTAGGAATGCAAAGGGGGGTCACCCAGCATCTTAATTACTTTCCTGTTTCTGTGAAGAGACACTACGACCAAGGCAACCTGTAAAAGAACACACTCAACTGGGCACTTGCTTACAGTGTCAGAGGGTTAGTTCATGATCATCACGGAAGGTAGGATGGCAGCGGGTAGGTAGGCCTGGCCCTGAGCAGTAACTGGGAGCTTTACATACTGATCCACGAGAGGGGGAGGGGGAGGGGGAGGGAGGGAGAGGGAGAGAGATGGAGAGATGGAGAGAGAGACAGAAAGAGAGAGAGAGAGAGAAACAGAGAGAGAAACAGAGAGAGAAACAGAGAGAGAAACAGAGAGACAGAGACAGGGCCTTCCATGAACTTCTAGTGACATACCTCTCCTCCAACAAGGAGACACCTAATCCCAAAAGAGTTCCACCAACTAGAATCTAAACATTCAAATATATGAGTCTATGGGGGCCATTATTATTCAAACCCCCAGGCCATGTGTTGTCTCATTTGCTGCTTAAACAACCCATCTCTTTTTTTCCAGTCTGCTCCTCCTAATGGGTGGAGTTTCAGGAAGACCACATACTGCTCCTCCTAATGGGTGGAGTTTCAGGAAGACCACATACTGCTCTCATCAAACAGCTTTCTGAGGCCTTTCCAGAACACCCGATTTAATGTGATGGAAATGGAGCCAGAGAGATAACTTATGGCTCATTAAAGATAGAGGCCCTGAGCCAAGGTGTATTGGTGGTGTCTAGAAGTTGGAAAAGGCAAGGAAATTGATTTAACCACAGGTTTTCCCCAGAACAACCTGGCTCAGCAAGACCCGTGTTGAACTGTCAGGCTACAGAGATCAAAGGTCATGAGTGAGAGTTTGTTATAGACAACAGATGATAAACACAGAACAGGGGTCTACAGAAAAGCCAAGTGACTCCATGACAGATGCGCGGCCCTGTGCTGGGGGACGACCCTTCCAACTTCCTTGTAGCTAAGCACACAGGCGCACTAGCTTCCTTTCTCAGATGCCCACAAAGGGGTTTCATTCTTGTTCAGGCGTTCATCAGTGATCAATAAGCCCAGGACAGGAGTTCCTGTCCTCTCACTGGGCAAGCACAAGGCCTCTGTGGATATCTGCTATGGAGAGAAGCTTACGCTGCAATATACAGAAATCCAGATGGAAATTTTCTTGACTGAAAGTGTCCCATCAAAAGTGGTATGAGGTAAAACTAACAACCCCTTCTCTAGGCAACTAGAATAAAAACAAAAGTCAACAGATAAGGCCTTATCACCATGAACCTCCCCTTTAATGGGACAGTTGCACAATAAACAGATTTTTTGTCTCTGTGGCCTCCAAGAAGCACCACACAGAGAGACATGGTCACCTTCACCATCTGGGTAACTTGCAGGCTTTTCCCCCCAGACAAGGTCTCTGTGTATTCCTGACTGTAATGCTGCCTTGAAAGGAAGGAAGGAATGAAGGGAGGGAGGGTGGGGAGGGGCGGGGAGGAAGGGAGGGAGGGAGGGAGGAAGGGAGGGAGGGAGGAAGGGAGGGAGGGAGGGAGACATGCAGGCTTTGGGCAGGTCTGTAGAGCATTTCTTAATTAGTAATTGATACAGTCTTTCTGAGCATATGGTTCAGGCCGCCATTGGCTGGTGGTCTTAGGTTCTATATGAAAGCAGGCTGAGCAGGCCATGAGGAGCAAGCCAGCAAGCAGCCCCCTCCATGGCCTCCCAGTTCCTGCCCTGCTTGAGTTCCTGCTGTCATGGCTCTCAGTGACAAGCTGTCACATGGGAGCATGAGTGAAATGAACCCTTTTCTCCAAGTTGCCTTTGGTTGTGGTGTTTCCTCACAGCAATAGCAGCCCGACTAAGTACATACAGTGTCACCAGAAAAGATCCTAGGAACTGGCACTGGGATGGCAGAGGGTCCCCAGACTCAGCTCCTCCTCCGAACATCTGGGTTTTTGTCTAGGTCTCCGGGATGCAGCTGACAAAGGTTCCCTGTGTACGTTGGAAGCCTCCTGAGGAGACGCGTGCCTCCCCACTGACGGGGTCCTACCTCCCCACTGACGGGGTCCTACCTGGCGAGTCCGTGGTTTGGTCACCTTCACCATGACTTCTTTCTGGAGGTCGTAGCCCCTGGAATCTGACGATGCTAAGTTCTTCACCTTCAATTCCATTTTCAGCCCCTGGCAAAGAGACAGCTCACTCAGCCATCCTCTAGTTCATGCTCCTCTTGAGGTCTCTTCCTCTCTCTTCCCAGCCCCAGGTTTGCTAAGGAACACAGCCTGGCTCCTCTTGTTCCTTGGAGTTCCTGCAGAGCATCAACATTTCCCAGTGGTACCCTGGCACTAACATTTGTGCTTCCTAAGTTGGCTAATTCCCTCCAAAGCTCTTGTGTGGGATCATGCGTCACCAAGTCCCCTCTGTGGCATATCAGCCACTGAGGTGCTGGAGAGGCACTGGGGACATCGGCGGTGTCCCCAGTAAGTGTTGGTCTGGGATGCTGGTGGCTCTGATAAGTAAGCTGGCTGAGAAGGCCTGAGGGTTAGTCTAGTTCTGTCACTAGCTCTCAGTGCCATCATGGGAAAAGCTCCACCCTTCCCTAGGCCTTTGGGGACCTGATGTGCCATCATCAGGGGGTGAAAGGTCACCTTCTCTAGCTCCTCACTCATCTGATTTGCTTCCACTACCAGCGGCATGAGTTTGATGTAGTCCTGGAACACAGCTAAGACACTGGGGTCAGCTCGGCCATCTCCGGGGCTCATGGTACCTAGTGAGAGTCACGGAGAAAGAGAGTCTGTGGCTTGTTCTATGATACTTTCCAGCTGCCACAAAGAACACACACTCAGCTGTTACAATTGTTCATCACTACCTTGAAATCTTGGCTATCCTTGTCCTTGATTTCAAGACCCTCAAGTCCAGTGTAGTTCTGGACTGTCCAGGAAGGAGGGTTAAAGTAAGTAGAAGCCAGAGGAGGGGCTGAATCCTTAGTGGCCCAGAGAGTAACCTGTTCTTACTCCAAGTTGTGTCTGGGTGCTATGGAGGAAGGGTTGTAGAGACTATGGGAGGCCCTGATCCCCTTTCCAGACTTGGAGGAGTACTGCCTTGGGTTGTGACCTGTCTTCTCTTTAGAGACTCCCTGCCCATGGGACACATGGCACCAAAGTCTCAGAACTTCCCACCAGGTGCCTTGAGAACCCTCCATCAAGTGCTTCAACCCAGGGCCTGAGGTTTGATGAACTTCCTGTCATCGCTGTCCCCATTCTGGGAAGGAATTCTATACAGTCAGTTATGAAGAACTCAATGAAAAGGTGGGTTATTTGTGGATAGTCTCGTTGTGATTGGGTGCGTACGTATGCATGTGTGTATGTGTACAGGTGTGCATGCAGAGAGCAAAGGGTGTCAAGCATCCTCCGCTATCACTTTCTACCTTATTTCCCTGAGACAGCATCTCTCCATGAACCTAGACAAGCGGCCACCAAGCTGCACAGACCCCTCTTGTCTCTGTCTCCTGTGGATGATGGTATAAACGCATGGCCTCATAGCCATGAAGCTACCATTCTTAGCCACCGAGTCATCTTGCTAACCCTGGCCTTGGACTTGTATCAAGAACTTCAGCAGAATATTGGTGTGATAGCATACATCTTTAATCCCAATACTCAGCAGGCTGAAGCAGGCCAACAAGTTCATACCAGCTTGGGCTACATAGTGAGTTTCAAGTTAGCCTTGGTTACCTAGTGAGATCTGAAAAACCAAAACAGAGCTAGGTATGGGGGCTCATACCTGTAATCTCAGCACCCTAATGCCCTCACTTGTGGCTTTATTAGGGCAAACAGAGTATAGGTGCCTCCCCCCGAGAAGCCAGCACATTACAAAGACCTCAGTGGGGTCCAGCCAACCCTGTGCCTGTGACTTGGGGCTGGGCGAGGAAGTATGGGAAGGTGTTAGGAGTCCCCACCTAAGGTGGATGGGCACAGGATGGAACCTCTAGGAACCTGTGAGGAATCCTAGGTAGTGCAGGGATAGAGGGTAGGTTGAGGGGCAAAGGGGTGCTCCACTCAGAAACCTAGAGCTGCAACTTCTTCCAGAGCAAGGCCTGAATCTTGCCCCTCACCATCTTTCCAGCCCAGAGCAGGCTCTCACAGTGCGCACTGTTGAGCCCTCCATGGTCTGAAGGCCTGCATCTAACACCCATGAAACGCATCTCAACATTCTGGACCCCACTTCCTGCATGTAACACTCTCCCGTACCAAGCTTCACATGGTGGACAATCTTCACCCTCATCCCTAGGGAAGGGCTAGTGAGTTCAACACATCTTTGACAGGTATTCGGTTTTCTGTTTCTACGAAGACCAGATTTTGGGGCTGAGGATGTAGTACTCGTCTAGCATGCAAGAACACAAAGCCTTGGATTTTATGGCCAGCATGCACAGAGGGGGAGGGGGAGGGGGAGGGGGAGGGAAAGAGCGAGAGAGCGAGAGGGCAAGAGGGCAAGAGGGCAAGAGAGCAAGAAAGCGAATGCTCAAATTCTAGCTTCCTGCATGCTGTATCCTGACTCCATGAATTCACAGGGAGATGCCCGAAGGCGGGTCCAGGACTGCTCACCAAGCATGCCGACACTCACTCCCTCAGCAGCTGCCCGTTCCAGCTGGAAAAAGTCATAGTCGAATTTGCTTAAATCTTCACCACCTCGCTCTGAGGGAAACCCGATGTAGAGGAAGGCACTGTTGGATCCCAAGATGATGCGGTCCTGGGGAGGAGAGCTTAGGAGGAAAGGCCTGGCCTGCTCTGGGGACCCAGACTTCTACTCAAGCCAGAGTGGAAAGGGCTGAGAACGCTCTTGTCTCCAAGACCACCCAGGCTCAAACCTCTTCCGGGATGAGGTAGAGTCTCAGAAGAAAGCATAGGTATGGAGCGCGATGGCTCCGATTCAGACTAGGACTACAGAGGACCCCTGAGAGGGCAGGAGATTTAGGTGCAGACGTGATGTGGGGGGGTGGGTTCGGTGGGGTAGACCACACTGTTGCTGGTCCACCAAAGGAAGTCCTTGGGATGGGGCATGTGCTGGACAGCGAAGCTAGGAGGGCTCACCCAGTGCTTCTGAAATGGTCATGGCTGAGCTACCTGTCAGAGGCTGGTGACTTCTGTATACAGTGTCTGGTGAAGGGAGAAGGCTTGTGGTAGCCAGTATAGCCACTGTGGTAATGGAGACTCCAAGGAGGGAGCAGAACAAATTGGAGCAGGGAATGGTGTAAGCACGTAACTCATCACTCCCCAGCAGGCTCTCTTAAGCCTCAGACATCACCAAATGAGAGCACTGGGAAGGGTCTTGCAGAATATCCATTTCCACCCTCTTTGTGTTTCCCAGACACGGTGCAGGTCTGTCACCCCAGCCTATGCAGTCCGGCAGAGGTAGGAAGCCCCAGGCCTGGCCAGTCCCTCTCAGTGTGACAGGAGACATTTCACAAGAGAGTCCTGTCCCAGCCCCCTCCCACCCCTGCCACCATCTTGAGGGTAGCACTAAGGCACTTCTGTGGCTGGGCAAGGAGCATACCAAATGCTGCAGCTTCGTCCTGTTGGTGACGGGTATCCCATTAACAACAACCTTGCACTTGCTGTGTGGGGCGACTGTCACTTTACCTTCCAAATTCACGAAGGAAGCATGTTTATCTGAAATTCTAAGCATACGAGAGTGTGTCTGGGTGGTCCAGTAGGTTATGATTTCATGGTTGGCTCAGTTGCACAATGTGATCAATAGGGAAGCTCTCACTGTCCCTCACCCCACACAGTGCTGTGGTTCATAGGCTATTGGAGGCTGTAGGGCTGGCCCTGGAAGAGTGCAGGGAGTTGGAAGACAAGGAAGATGCTATTCTATTCACAGAACAAACCCTCGCTGGGGGCCCACCCCCAGGAACCACCAGCTACAGAGACCATCACAAGTCCTTGAAAGCTACAAGCTAGCAATGGAGAAATGAAAACAGGTTTCAATAGCAAGATGTAGAATAAACCTATGTCCATCAAAAGGTAGTAAAGAGATGAGCTGTAGGGCTGGAGAGCTGGCTCAGAGGTTAAAAGCACTGGCTGTTCTTCCAGAGGTTCTGAATTCAATTCCCAGCAACCACATGGTGGCTCAAAACCATCTGTAATGAGATCTGGTGCCCTCTTCTGGTGTACAAGCATACATGCAGATGGGAACACTATGTATAATAAATAAATAAATCTTTAAAAAAAGATGTGCTGTAAGTACACCAGCAGAAACTATTTGACCAGAAAGAAAGAATGGATTCCCATGACGTCAGCAACATGGATGCTACTGGAATCAGTATGAAATCAAGCAGGTGCAGAAAGACAGACAACCACATTTCTCACCCACACGAGGAGGTCAAAACACTGGCATCAAGGAGGTAAAGAATAGGAGAGTGGTTGCCATAGCCGGGGTGGGGAGGTGGAGAGTGGAGAGGGGCCAGGAATGGTTAATGGCCACGGGTGGCGCTTGATAGGAAGAGAGCATCTGGTGCTCTACAGTATAAGCTTAGGATGCTCTAAGTCATTGGCTGAATGCTTCAAAATCCCTGGTACATGTTAACCATTGCATGTGTCCTGAAAAATCACTCTACAGAACACACATACATGTGACTATGGTGCCAACTAAAACATATACATTAATTCTAAAATTAGAAAAGTTGCTTCAAGCAGCTGAGGATACAGCCACCTGAAGGTACAGTCATGAAAGACACTCCACGATGTACTGGGCCTTTCGTCTCCCCTAGTTTTTTGCAGGGTCTCCTTACTTCTGCTTGTGGGGTTCTGTCTTGCAGGCTTTAGCCACTGGTGTCCCTTTCTTCCAAGATGAGCGGAAGGAAACAGGAGGTGTGCACCATACACTGGACTTCTGTAAGCACTCTTCCCAAGCATTGGAGGAGTCGAAGGAGGCCTGGGAACTTTAATATTGCCCATCCAGCAGGACCTAACAGCTTGGCTCCCCTATGACCGGATGACTTTCCAGAACCTTCCCCTGTGAAACATGCTACAAGTCTGACAACCCAACACTCGGAGGAGGAGGCAGGGTGATTTCGTGTTTGAGGCCAACCTGGGCTACATAGTGAGATCCTCTCTCAAACATCTAAAACATAACAAGACAGACCTCTGGACTGAGAAGTTGGTATCCTCTGGTTTGGGATGGGTGATGTTCTTACCCCAGGCCTTGAAGACAGATAGTGTTTGTAGCAGCTCGACCAACGTCACAGGAGCCTGGAAAGAGTTGGGACAGTTTATCTTCAAATCGTCAGCATTTGGCCGTGATGAAGTAATGTGTTTGATAATTTGAAAGTGGCATTTTTTTCCTTCAAATAAGAGCATCCAAGAGGTTTTGTTTTGTTTTCCAATTGGAGCTGCCAATCATAACATTGCCTGTACATGAACTTGCTTTTTGCTCTCATTGTGTTAAGATCCCTAACTTAATAAAAGTGCTCTTAGAAGCTCCGTTTGTGTGGTGGCTGGCCCCTCAGGGTGCACTGAATCCCCCCAGCTCCTGACTGTCCTCCTGCCACCATCCTGCACATGGCTTAGAGTGCACAGCAGCCCGGGAGGAGGAACAGGGATCGAATGCTGACCCATTCAGTAGCACACACATTGGAGAGACATTCCAAAGGCCGCCATCTCCTCAGAAGCCACCAGGCAAATGTGATGTAGTCACACGTGGGTGATGAATAAACACCATGCAGTGTAGGTATCTGATAGGGGCCATTTACCTTAGCAAGGGAAGAAATGCCTGAGTGAGTTAATGATACTCAGTGAACTGAGACAGACAGGAAAGACAAGTGTGGTGTGACCTTGCTGCTGTGAGGCACCATGCATGGGGAAATCCAGACACACAAAGGAGAATGGTGGTCACCCAGGACTCAGAGAGAAGAGTAGGGAGGCAGCTTGTAATGGTACAGAGTTTCAGTTTGAGGTAAAGGTGGAAAGTTCTGGAAATAGATGTGGTGATGGTTTAGAACCTCTGCGCTGTACTCAAGAGTGGTTGAAGAGGTGAATTTTATGTTGTATGGTCTTAATAAAATATTTAAAATATCAAAAAAAGGAAAGGAAGAAGGAGGGAAAGAGGAAAGAAAGGAGGGATGGAGGGGAAGAGGGAAAAGGGGAGGAAGAGAGGGAGGAAGGATATGGGGTGGCAGGGGTAGGGCAAGGGGAGCAGCAGGACCAAGTACCATTGGGAATGAAGTACTTGAGGACCCCCGTGAGCTGTGGGTCCTCATTGACATTGAGGAGGTGTGGGACAGCCTTCACCATCTGCTGCTCCTGGAAAGACAGACAAGCCTGTAGACACCTGAGCCTGCCCCAGGGACCTATGAGAAGGGCAGCTGTCCGGGCAGCCTGTCCCAAGGCCCAGGGCCTCCCTCCCTCCCTTCTCCAGCCATCCTCTATTGCCCACCCTCCTTTATCCTGCCTCGCCTGTTTTCTTCAGGCCCCTGGTTCCTCCATCTCCTTGCACCCCGCTTCCCCCTCACCTCCGTGGCCCCCTCCCTGAGTGTCTTAACTTGCTGCTAGCTGACTTGGTAATGGCAGAGTGGCATACTGCCTTCTCCCTCAGTGACGCCCAACTGCATCCCAGTCTTCCTCACAGGGCAGGGCCCAATTGTGCTTATGGAGGATGGACAAACAGAACTGGAGAAGACACTGTGGCTTAGGGCGGTTTTTAGATCCTGAAATTCCTTCTGATTAAGAGTAGAGAACATGAAAGTCCAGGTGGTTGTTGTTCACTGAAATAGTTTTGGAGACCTGAATCCCACTTAGACCCAGAGTCTCACAGGGCCACCTCCCCCCTTGCAGGATGCTATTTAATGGGGTTTCTGCTGGCACGAGTTTTGCCTCGACTTTCATAATCATTGATCTCTAAGTTGATCTGGGATCTTGACACCACAACCCACACCCTACTCTACCCCCACCATCTGAGATTTATTCTGAACTTCATGAACCTTCGTGAATTCAAGTTGCGTTCTCCCCGCTCTTCCAAGAGTTGCAGGTCTGGTCCAAGACTTGGGCGTTTCCTTGGAGCCTCATGGCCAAGAACAAGATTCGGGTGAGGCAGGGAGGGGGGGTGTCCTCCTTACTACCCATGACATGCACAGCCCGCCTCAGAAGCTGGCGTGTGACTTGGTGCTGCACAGAGGTTTGCCTGGCATTGGCAAGGCCCTGGATTTCATCCCAGCACCCAAAACAACAATAATGATGAACTTTGTGCTCACAACATGACCTGTTTCATCAGTACGCCATGACCCCCTGGATTCCCTTCAGGCTCCAGCTCCATCCTCACCACAGTCTGGAGCCGGGCAGCTGAGCAGGCTGTCAGTCAGTTGCCAGGGAGAGTGACCGTGTGAGCCTCACCTGGGAGAGAGCCGCATATTGCTCCTCCCACTCCTTCTGTGCCTGTGCCAGCAGGTGGGCCCAGGTCTCCCGAGTCCTCAGCTGCCATTCTGCCAGAAAACAAGCTGGGTGCTCTAGAGAGAGGGAGGGACCTTATGCATCATCAAAAGTGAGGTGCAGGGCGACAGCAGCAGCGGGGAACTGAGCTGCATCTGTGTGAAGACTCATGGGCTCAGTTCTGCTGCAGGCGGCAGCCTGGGCTAACTCTCCCCTCTCCTCCTTTTCATGTGTTCAGGCGTGTGACCATCTGTTCAGGGAATTCCCATCCGACCAGAGGTTCAGAAGGAATGACGGATTTGTCTGGCACTGTCTTTTCATGTTTCACGTCTGGGTTTATGAATAGTGGGAATTAGATGCTTCGTGTGTGTTGACACCCAGAACTGTGCGACCAGCAGAGCCAGGCACGGACCAGCGTCTGTGTCTGCTCTAACTGAGGCAGCGCTTTGTTGCAGGGGATGCCCGAGGTCAGCATACGAAGCCTGGACATGTGTCCTCTCGGGTGTGCCTGCCCTGTGTGTGAGCAGTGTGGGAAAGCGCAGGCTGCCGTTTCCTGTCAGTGGCAAAGGAGACCACACGGATGTCACAGCTGGAATAAGGCTGATCCGGAAGGTCCTTGAAGAGTGTGTGCCCTCCCTCCCACCCTCTCTCCCGGCCAGTCCTCCCTCCCCAGCCCAGCGGCTGAGCAGGTCACCCCTCAGTCCCTCCAACCGGCCTCTGGTGTCACGTGTGGCTGAGCATAGCCTGCTAACTTGACTTACCTGGCGCTCCGGTGCCCCCGAATGCAAGCAGCAGCTTGTCCTCAGCCCTGACCGCTCTCACCGCTGTGCAGGTGTTGATCGTAGCTCTGTTCTGAACCTTTTTAGCCCTGCCGTGCAATGGCAAACACTGTCTCAGGCCCCTTTGCAGTCAGGCCTGTACCACCAGCCCTGGGGTAGCAAGCTCGGATCCCAGGCAGAATCGTGTTAGTTTTCACTACCAGGAGGGGCCAGCCTTTTGACACCGTGTCATCTCCAAGTTTCTGGGCCACATTCATAGCTAGCGTAGGATGCAATGTGGGCCCGTGGGCCACAGGCTAGACACATCTGCAACCATTAGAACAAAACTGATCTAAGTAACCTACATGGTTCACACAAACTCACAAAGCTCAGCTGAGTCCCAAGTTAGGCCTCTGAATGTCCTAGGTCCTGACAACACTTGGTTAATTCAAGAATGTAGCTCATCAACAATCAAAACCCCGGAAAAAAGCTGCCACCCAGCTCCCAAACACACAGAAGCTTATCCTTATGCCTGGCCCTAGCTTGTCTTGTTTCTTGTCTGCTTTTCTTAACTTAAATTATCCCATTTATCTTTTGCCTCTGGGCTTTTACCTTTCTCTATTTCTGTATTTCTTTCCTTCAGACTCCATAGCTGGCTGTGTGGCTGCCCCTGATGGCATCCTCTCTTCCTCCTTTTCTTGCTCTTTGATCTTCTCGTCCCAGATTTCCATTTATTCTCTGCCTGCCAGCCCTGCCTATCCTTCCTCCTGCCTTGCTATTGGCCATTCAGCTCTTTATTAGACCAGTCAGGTGTTTTGGACAGGCAAAGTAACACAGCTTCACAGATTTAAACAAATGCAACGCAAAAGAATGCAGCACATGTTTGTATCATTATACAAATAGTTCACAGCATCAACAAATGAAACACATGTTAAAATACTATTCTACAACAACAGGCTACAGTCATCTCAGAGGTTTCTATTCTTCACCCTATTCCCAGTGTCACCACAGAGAGCTCAGGCATATCGTAACATGACTCATTCTCTGAAATTTAAATTTAACAGGGTATCTTATGCTATTATTACCGTGATGTCGGGGATTAAACTCACAGGTGTTTTATGTTTCACCCTTTCATTTCACAAGAGAAATGTAAAGATTCCAATGGGCCTTGCTCTAAGCACAAGGTTGGAAACAGTATAGAGAACCCAGCGCTGCTCTGTGCATCCTGCCCAGAGATCCACTGTCAGCAGGGCTGCATGGATAGGCAGGAGAAAAGAACATTCTAGACATGGCTAAAGTCAAGTTCTAGCTACAGATGTGAGCTTGCACAGCAGATGCTGGGGGAGAATGTCAGGGCACGCAGCAGTCCCGTGTCTGGGCAGTGAGAGAGAGGGGCAGGGGTTCACTCACAGGAAAGGGCTCCCTGGCTCAAAAGTGTCTGGAGGGCAGTTCAGGAGAGGCGGTCCTCAGAGGCATAGTCTGAACTGCAGGGTTTTGTTTTCTTGAGAAGGGTTCTCACCTGGCTGGAGCTCTTGATCTCACAGAGATCCACCTGCATGTGCCTCCCACGTGCCGGGAGTAAAGGCGTGCACCACACTAAGGCCCAGAGTAGCTTCTGAGCATCCCCGAGAGAGCAGCAAGCACAGAGGATGTTTAATTTTTCCATTCCTCTTTCACTAGTCTTTACTCTCCTTCTCCTGGACTCCCGCCCCAAACGCGAAGCCGTCTAGTAGCAGACTGCTGAAAGGACTTGGGACACGGGACTAGCTGCTGTTCACAAGCCACTTACCTCTCAGCGTACCTCAGTGTCGACAGGGTTTCCTCATAGCAGGTATCGGCTGGGCTTATAGCTGCAATCTGCAATCATCCCGGGCAGACTTTTGTCATCCAGGGGTTTACTGCCATGGGAGCTATTAAAATAGCTACTACTGGGGCTGGGGGAGGGGGATGACACTGACAATGGAGGACTTGCTTTGCAAGCAAGAAGAACTGAGTCTGACACCAGAGCCCACATAAAAATGCGGTGCATGCTGGCACCCACTTGTAACCCCGCACTGGGAGACAGAGACGGGAGGATTCACGGGGCTCACTGGCTAGTGATCTAGTCTCATGTGAACTCCAGGCCAATGAGAGCCCTTTCTCAAAGGAAGCGGACGGCATTCCTGAGGATGACACTCAATGTTGTGGTCTGTCTGGCCTTACACGCACGCACATATTTGCACCCCCTGTGCACATACATGCACCTCATGTGTGCACATGCTAATAAAAATAATGTTCACAAAACAGCTTGTGTCATTTAACTTTCAGCACTACTTGAACTTCAAATCATTTACCTTTTTAATTACTTATTTTTATTTTATGTGAATTGGTGTTTTGTCTACATGTATCTATGTGAGGGGATCGGATCCCCTGGAATTGGAGTTACAGATAGTTGTGAGCTGCTATGTGTGTGCTGGAAATTGAACCCGGGTCCTCTGGAAGGGCAGCCAGCGCTCCTAACCTCTGAGCCATCTCTCCAGGTCCCTTGTTTACTTTTTTAGATTTGATTATTTAATGTGTATGGATGTTTTGCCTGCGTGTGTACGCATGTGTACCGCGTGTGTCAGAAGAAGGCATCAGACCCCCTGGGTCTGGAGTTACAGGTGACTGTCAGCTACCATGTGGGTGCTGGGAATCAAACCAGGGTCCTTTGCAAGAGCAGCAAGTGCTCTTAACCACTGAGCCAGCTCTCCACACTTCTGAACTTTACATTTTCTTTTTTTTTTTTTTTTTTTTTTTTTTTTGGTTTTTCGAGACAGGGTTTCTCTGTATCGTTTTGGAGCTTTGTAGACCAGGCTGGCCTCGAACTCACAGAGATCCGCCTGCCTCTGCCTCCCGAGTGCTGGGATTAAAGGCGTGCGCCACCTACGAGTTGTTACGTTTATTTATGTGTGTGCGCGCGTGCGCTGCAGCGCCACAGCGTACATGCGGCAGGCAGAGGACAGCTTGCAGGGGTCGGTTCTCTCCTTCCACTCTGTCCGTTCCGGGAGTAGAACCCAGGTCATCAGGTTTGGCAGCAAGTACTTTTCCCGTTGAGCCATCTCACTGCTCTATTAAACTTCACTAGCCAGGAAACTCTGGCTAGAAAAAAGCAATACAGTCAGGTCACCCAGACGATAACCAGCTAGAACTGGAATTAGAGCTGGCCACTGGCTAACTCTGAAATCTGCCGCTGTCCTGATGACTGCCACAGGCTCTGTGCGCTTGGTCCTCAGCAGTGTCCTCAGGAGACTGAGCGACTGATTGCTGAATGTTCTCAGCGTACAGAGAAAGTTTTGCTCACTCCAGATCCTGTCAAGAGCATGGCGACTAATCCTGTGAGACCTTCCCATCGCTGAGCCAAAGCGCCCAGGAAAGCCAACCACAAGAAGGATTTCTCTGGGCTCAGACCTCAGAGTATTCAGCCACCCCGGCAGGTAGTGAAGGCAGAGCAGTGCATCCCACAGGTAGATGGTGGGGCTGGGAGAAAACCTGTACTGTGGGCTTCCTTCCTCCTCCCTCGTAACCAGCCACCCCACAGCCACAGGAATGTTCCGCCCACATCAGGGCAGACCTTTCTTCCTTGCTGAATCCTCTCTGGAAACACTCACAGGGAATCCTCTCTGGAAACTCTCACAGGGAATCCTCTCTGGAAACACTCACAGGGAATCCTCTCTGGAAACTCTCACAGGGAATCCTCTCTGGAAACTCTCACAGGGTATCCTCTCTGGAAACTCTCACAGGGAATCATCTCTGGAAACTCTCTCACAGGGAATCCTCTCTGGAAACTCTCACAGGGAATCCTCTCTGGAAACTCTCACAGGGAATCCTCTCTGGAAACTCTCACAGGGAATCCTCTCTGCAAACTCTCACACAGGGAATCCTCTCTGGAAACTCTCACACAGGGAATCCTCTCTGGAAACTCTCACAGGGAATCCTCTCTGGAAACTCTCACAGGGAATCCTCTCTGGAAACTCTCACAGGGAATCCTCTCTGGAAACTCTCACACAGGGAATCCTCTCTGGAAACTCTCACAGGGAATCCTCTCTGGAAACTCTCACAGGGAATCCTCTCTGGAAACACTCTCACAGGGAATCCTCTCTGGAAACATTCACAGGGAATCCTCTCTGGAAACACTCACAGGGAATCCTCTCTGGAAACACTCACAGGGAATCCTCTCTGGAAACTCTCACAGGGAATCCTCTCTGGAAACACTCACAGGGAATCCTCTCTGCAAACTCTCACAGGGAATCCTCTCTGGAAACTCTCACAGGGAATCCTCTCTGGAAACTCTCACAGGGAATCCTCTCTGGAAACTCTCACAGGGAATCCTCTCTGGAAACTCTCACAGGGAATCCTCTCTGGAAACTCTCACAGGGAATCCTCTCTGGAAACTCTCACAGGGAATCCTCTCTGGAAACTCTCTCACAGGGAATCCTCTCTGGAAACTCTCACAGGGAATCATAGAGCATGGTGGCTGTGGCTATTCTGTGTTTTATTTGAGTCTTAGAACACTCAATATTCATCTCCTACCTCCTTTTCTCCAATAATCCCAGCACTCGGGAGGCAGAGGCAGGCAGATCTCAAATGAGTTTGAGGCCAGCCTGGTCTATAAAATGGGTTCCAGGACATCCAAGACTATCATACAGAGAAACCCTGTCTCGAAAAGCAAAAAAACAGAACAACAACAACAGCAAAAAAACAAAAAAACAAAACAAAAAAAAACCCCACTACAATAGGAGCTAGAGGTTCCGAGAAGAAATGCCTAGAATGGCACCTTCTGTGTTTCCAGCACTTAAGAGGCTGAGGCAGGAGGACTGTGATTTTGTGGTCAGTGTAAGCTATATAGTGAGACCCTGTCTCAAAACTCATGAATCTTGCAGATCTGTAAGGTGTCCTCACCTCACTGTGTCAGGTGACTGTACTCACTGTGTCAGGTGACTGTACTCACTGTGTCAGGTGACTGTACTCACTGTGTCAGGTGACTGTACTCACTGTGTCAGGTGACTGTACTCACTGTGTCAGGTGACTGTACTCTCTGTCTCAGGTGACTGACTGTACTCACTGTGTCAGGTGACTGACTGTACTCACTGTGTCAGGTGACTGTACTCACTGTGTCAGGTGACTGTACTCACTGTGTCAGGTGACTGACTGTACTCACTGTGTCAGGTGACTGTACTCACTGTCTCAGGTGACTGTACTCACTGTGTCAGGTGACTGTACTCACTGTGTCAGGTGACTGTACTCACTGTGGCAGGTGAATGTACTCACTGTGGCAGGTGACTGTACTCACTGTGGCAGGTGACTGTACTCACTGTGTCAGGTGACTGTACTCACTGTCTCAGGTGACTGACTGTACTCACTGTCTCAGGTGACTGTACTCACTGTCTCAGGTGACTGTACTCACTGTGTCAGGTGACTGACTGTACTCACTGTGTCAGGTGACTGACTGTACTCACTGTCTCAGGTGACTGTACTCACTGTGTCAGGTGACTGTACTCACTGTGTCAGGTGACTGACTGTACTCACTGTGTCAGGTGACTGTACTCACTGTGTCAGGTGACTGTACTCACTGTGTCAGGTGACTGACTGTACTCACTGTCTCAGGTGACTGACTGTACTCACTGTCTCAGGTGACTGACTGTACTCACTGTCTCAGGTGACTGTACTCACTGTGTCAGGTGACTGTACTCACTGTGTCAGGTGACTGTACTCACTGTGTCAGGTGACTGTACTCACTGTGTCAGGTGACTGTACTCACTGTGTCAGGTGACTGTACTCACTGTGTCAGGTGACTGACTGTACTCACTGTGTCAGGTGACTGTACTCACTGTGTCAGGTGACTGTACTCACTGTGTCAGGTGACTGTACTCACTGTGTCAGGTGACTGTACTCACTGTGTCAGGTGACTGTACTCACTGTGTCAGGTGACTGTACTCTCTGTCTCAGGTGACTGACTGTACTCACTGTGTCAGGTGACTGACTGTACTCACTGTGTCAGGTGACTGTACTCACTGTGTCAGGTGACTGTACTCACTGTGTCAGGTGACTGACTGTACTCACTGTGTCAGGTGACTGTACTCACTGTCTCAGGTGACTGTACTCACTGTGTCAGGTGACTGTACTCACTGTGTCAGGTGACTGTACTCACTGTGGCAGGTGAATGTACTCACTGTGGCAGGTGACTGTACTCACTGTGGCAGGTGACTGTACTCACTGTGTCAGGTGACTGTACTCACTGTCTCAGGTGACTGACTGTACTCACTGTCTCAGGTGACTGTACTCACTGTCTCAGGTGACTGTACTCACTGTGTCAGGTGACTGACTGTACTCACTGTGTCAGGTGACTGACTGTACTCACTGTCTCAGGTGACTGTACTCACTGTGTCAGGTGACTGTACTCACTGTGTCAGGTGACTGACTGTACTCACTGTGTCAGGTGACTGTACTCACTGTGTCAGGTGACTGTACTCACTGTGTCAGGTGACTGACTGTACTCACTGTCTCAGGTGACTGACTGTACTCACTGTCTCAGGTGACTGACTGTACTCACTGTCTCAGGTGACTGTACTCACTGTGTCAGGTGACTGTACTCACTGTGTCAGGTGACTGTACTCACTGTGTCAGGTGACTGTACTCACTGTGTCAGGTGACTGTACTCACTGTGTCAGGTGACTGTACTCCTGTGAGATTGCTGGATTCCAGTCTGCAGTTGGACACTCAGAAGGTGTCTTGGGTGCACTGGTTTTGCTTCTGCTTTTCCAGCGCTGGGAATGGAACCCAGACTCTAACACATGGTAGTGCTGTACCCGAGCTACATCTCCAGCTCGGAGGAGTGCTGTCGTTGTATTCCAGGTGCTTGGTGAATGCACCACTGAGATCCACAAATAACAGATACCCAGAAAGACCTTAAAGTGAAGTACTTAGGCAAGTATTTAAGCAAGACTGTGTTTTACCTGTGAGTTTGGGGAGACGTAGCAGTTAGCCTGATTTGTCCCTGGCTTCGCATGTTCAGTGCTAAGACTGAAACGCAGTTACCCTACAGAGTCCACATTTGCCCGGCAACTAACTGCCTTACCATAGGACTCGGTAGCATTGTTAATTCTGTTCTTATAGCAAAAGTAATCATATATATATATATATATATATATATATATATATATATATATGTCAGGAGGAGGTGGCACACACCTTTAATCCCAGCACTAGGGAGGCAGAGGCAGGTGGATCTCTGGGAGTTCGAGGCCAGCCTGGTCTACAGAGCGAGTGCCAGGACAGCCTCCAAAAATCACAGAGAAGCCCTGTGTCAAAAAACAAAACAAAAAAGTAATTACATATCATATTCCAGGCTGGAGGCATGGCTCAGTGGCAGAGCCTTGCCTGGTATCACCAGGCCCTGGTTCCATCTCCATCATAAAACAGAGCCCAAATGGAAAGCAATATATATTGCAGTAGCAAGCCCGGAAGGGGTTGCAGCAAGGGGTAAAATATTTAATGTTGTGGAGCCCTCGTGACACATGGCAGTGGACAGGCATCGGGGACTGAGAGATGATGCAGAGGAGGACTGAGTCCTAGTGTGTTGAGAGTGACTTCAGCCACAGAACTCTAAAGCCTAGCCAGTGTTACATGTTCTAACGAAGAGGTCTGTCTTACCAGTGTGGTCCGGCTGTTCCCGCCCAGAGCCGACCTCAGCAGTTTGGTGAGAACAGAATCTCTGTAGGGGATGTGCAGGACTTTCTTCCCCGTGGCTGAGTCAGCCAGAGCACTGCGTGAAGGAGAAACAATGGAGGGGTAAGAAAGAAACTGCCTCTCCGGGGGTAACTAGCGATGGCTCACACATCCCTGCGGTGGCCCTGCGTTGTGGTCTGAAGGTCACCCTTGTGGGTAAGCCACTGTTTATTTCTGCCTCCAAGGAGCTGCCCTGCTTTTCCTCACTCAAACCGTGAATCAAGGTAAATGCTGCTTCCTTTCTGAAGTGGCTTCAGGTCAGAGAAGTGACTAATCCACCCTGTAAAGTGACAATAATAACAGACACCTGTGCCAAGGTGCCCAAGCAACCCAGGACACAAGCTGGAGACCTAAGCCTCCGTCACACAAGAGACAGGACACAAGCTGGAGACCTAAGCCTCCGTCACACAAGAAACAAGACACAAGCTGGAGACCTAAGCCTCCGTCACACAAGAGACAGGACACAAGCTGGAGACCTAAGCCTCCGTCACACAAGAGACAGAGACTGGAGAGATGGCACTGAGCTTCAGAGCGGGTACCACTCAAGCAGACAGTAGGTCATTCACAACCACGTGTAGCTGCAGCTCCAGGGCATCTGATGCCCTCTTCTGGCCTCCACGGGCTGCTGCACTGAGGAGCACATTCCCATACTCACCCACATAGACATACACATAATTAAACTTTTTCAAATTATAAAACTCAAGACAGTTAGGCAAAGATGAATCTGATGTTAAAGGTCAGCTTGTTTTGGTGCCGTGCCAACAGGAGGGGCTGTGTTCCAACGGAGGTGTGTGTTTGTGTGTCTGTTCCAGCAGGGAGGGGTGTGCCCCAGTGGGGAGGGGTGTGCCCCAGTGGGGAGGGGTCTGGTGGAGACTTGTGACCTCTGAAGATGTTCTATATTTTGACCTGGATGCAAATTACGTTGTGTGAAGACTGGGGTTCCAGTTCCAGCACCCACATAAAAGTCAGGCAGGCGTGGCAACCCATCAGAACTTGGGAGGTGGAGACTAGAGATCTCCCTGGGCAATCTGGGTAGCTAGACTAGCTGAACCAGCGGGCTCCATCTTCATCAAGAAACCTCACCTCAGTAAATATAGTGGAGAGAACTAAGGGAGGCATCCTACATGAGGACGACATCTCTGGCCTCTGCACATATGTGTACATATGAGTCAACGTACCCACCCACATGTATGCCCATACACATACAAACATCTCCCTGGAAAAAAGAAAAACAAAAAAGGAAAACAAGGAGGAACAATAGTGGGGGAGTAGTGGTACCCCAAACCCCGCATGGTACTTACCTCCAAGAGGAAGGCGGAGGAATGGAATTCTGCATCAACCACTTTCAGGTGATGGAAGGAATATTTATTTTGCTAGTGTTAATTTGTGAGGCATTAATTAGTTTTAAATATACAGGAGACACACATAGTGATGCCACTATTGTGAACTAAAGGCTGTTATTAATGTAATCTTATTCCATTTGCTTGGTAAGTTTGGAGCTGGGGATGAGATCCAGACCGTGGACTTACTAGGAAACTGGGACACCACTCTCTGCTCTCTTCTACGTCATTGTTTCACGTCATGGCGTGGTGGTTTGAATGAGAATGGCCCATGTGTGGACCATGACTTTAACTATGTAAAGGTGTGTTACATTTGCTTATGCTGAATTTGCTTAACTATGTAAAGGTGCGTTACATTTGTTTATGCTGAATTTGCTTAACTATGTAAAGGTGTGTTACATTTGTTTATGCTGAATTTGCTTAACTATGTAAAGGTGTGTTACATTTGTTTATGCTGAATTTGCTTAACTATGTAAAGATGTGTTACATTTGTTTATGCTGAATTTGCTTAACTATGTAAAGGTGTGTTACATTTGTTTATGCTGAATTTGCTTAACTATGTAAAGGTGTGTTACATTTGTTTATGCTGAATTTGCTTGCTTAACTAGGCAAAGATGTGTTGTATCTGTTTTACCTTGCCTGCCTAAGGCACCTGATTGGTCTAATAAAAATCTAAACAGCCAATAACTAGGCAGAGGAAGGATAGGCGGTGCTGTCAGGCAGAGAGAGCAAGGAGGAGGAATTTAGACTGTAAAAGAAGAGGGGGAAGAGAATGAGGAGAGAGAGAGAGAGAGAGAGAGAGAGAGAGAGAGAGAGAGAGAGAGAGTGAGGGAGGAGAGAGAGAGAGAGAGAGAGAGAGAGAGAGAGAGAGAGAGAGTGAGGGAGGGAGGTCTGAGGCCAGATGGACATGGAGGAAGCAGGAAAAGTAGGACATACAGAAGGAAAGAAAGGTAAAAAGCTCTGAGGCAAAACATAGATGAATAAAAACAGGGTAAATTAATTTAAAAGAGCTAGTGAGACAACCATAAGCTAAAGGTTGAGTTTTTATAATTAATAAGAAGTCTCTGTGTCATGATTTGGGGGTTGGTGGTCCAAGAAAGCCTTCTACAGGCCGCCATAGGCTCATATGTTTGAATTCTTGGTCCTCGGTTGGTGGAACTATTTGGAAAGGATGAGGAGGTGTGGCCTTAATGGAGGATGTGTATCACTGCCGGTGGGCTTTGAGGTCTCCAAAGCATACAGTATTCCAGTTATCGATTTGTGCCTCCTGCTTCTGGATCAAGATGTGAGCTTGATCCAGCTACCAATTTAGCATCATGCCTTCCGGTTCACTACCATTTTCCCTACCATGAAGGACATGGACTCTAATCCTCTGAAACTGTAAGCCTCCAATAAACTATTTCTCCTATAAGTGTCTCTTTAGAGAAATAGAAAAGTGTAGTGATATCTTGTTTACACTCTACAAATGAAGCTTGCCTGAAGATCAGAGGGCAGAGCTAATCACTAGCTGTTAACCATGGAGGTCTGGAGGACAGTACAGACAGATGAGAGAGGAAGTGATAAGGCCGGAGGAGACAGGAGGAGCTCAGTCTCTTTTCGGCTGGGAAGTTGGAGAGTTAAAGGTGGTTGTGGTTTTGCTCCTTCGTCTGTGTGATCGCTCAGTGTTTTCCATCATGTGTGTCTGACTCTGGGCTTTTATTATTAAGACTATTAGAACTCGTGCTCCAGAACAGTAACTAAGACACATGAATGTCTGTGTGCTGGTCACATACCTGATGACATTTCCTAAACTGGTTAGGCTTAAATTGACCCTAGATCCTTCCCTCAGCCGGTCTCCTTCAGACCCTGATGATTTCTGCCTCTCACTTCCTGCCAAGTCCACCATGTTGATGCTGGATTGTTTGGTGAGGGCCATGTCCAGGAAAACCTGTAGAGACAGACACACCTCAGGCTGTTAGACTGATGCCTCCCAGACAGACTGTCCCACAAGCTTACATGGCTCTTCAAGGTATACCTCAGACTCCAAATATAACAGCTGTCACCGAAGGTGCCATCCCTGTGCAGGGACAGTTGACAGTGACAATACTGAATTCCCCAGTTCAAGTGTCCTGCTTGCCTCTCTCTAGTTCTGCAAAGCCCTTTTGAGGGACATCAGATAGCAGTCATTACAGGCATTTCAGCAAACTTTTAGCACATCAAATGCTGTGAAACCCACAACATCACGAACATCAGGGGCTGTTCAGTCCTGTGGCCCTGCAGCCGAATGAACACATACACACTCTTGAGTTCTACAGGGTTTCCTGCTGGCTATGTGAACAACTTCTTCTTCTTTTAACATTTTAACGTTCTCACTTTTTAAAAAAGTTTCCATTTATTTGCGTTCATCCATCCAGTTTCTCCTCTTGTTCCTAGATAAGAAGTTCAAATGATGGGGTGAACCACATATGCAGTATTTGAATTTTACTAACATGGTAAAATTCATTCAGGGAATAGCACTTACAATGCACAAAACTCTCTGGTATGGGATATTTGTTTATACTGTGTGAAGACATGTCACTGATTGGTTTAATAAAAAGTTGATTGGCCAATAGTTAGGCAGGAGAGGTTGGGTGGGACTTCCTGACGGAGAGGAACTCAGAAGGTTTAGAATCTAGGCTCAGTAGAGATGCCAGCAAGACATGGAGGAGTCAGATATTCAAAATGGAAGAGAGGTCAAAAGTCACGTGGCAGAACACAGACTAATAGAAACAGGTTAAATTTTAAGAGCTAGTTGGGAACAAGCCTAAGCTAAAGGCCAAACTTTCATAATTAATAAGTCTCCATGTCATATATTTGGGAGCTGGTGGTCCTAAAAGAAAGTCTGACTACAATTCTTCATGTCTGTATGTGTGTGTCTATGTGCATGCGTGTGTATGTGCAGGTGCACATCTATGAGTATTCATGCAGAGGACAGAGGATGCTGTCACCTGTCTTCCTCAACTGTTGCACACTTGAGTTTTGACGCAGACTTTCTCACTGTCCTGGAGCTCTCTGATTTGGTCAGACTACTGGCCAGCAAGTCCTTGCAATTCTCCTGTCCCTGCTTCCCCAGTGTTAGGATTCTAGAAGCATGCTGCTATGCCTGGCTCTTTTACATGCCTGATACTGGGGATTTGAACTCTGGTCCTCATGCTTGCACAGCACATGCTTCTGCTGAATCACCTTCCTGTTTCTAGAGAATTCCTTAGACTGCAGTGCCTCATCTCAGCCTCCCAATGTGCCTGGGAACAGAGCCATCGCCCCATTTTACAGAGGATGGGTCTGGGGGTTGGGAAGATGGTCTCCTCAAAGTCTTAGCGCTAGTATCTAAGAGTCACTCATGTGTCTGCGGTCCCTGGTGTGAACATGACGGGCTTCCGCCATTACCGATTTGGCATCGAAAGGACAGGGTTGTGTAATCACAGTTGACTGTGGCATTCACCCAGAGCAACTGTTTCAAGAACAACCTGGGGATGCTCTCAGAGACATCCTGACACCCACTGAGAAGGCTTGAGAAGAGTGCTCCTCTCTGGTTTATCAAAGGCTTTAATTAGTGGCTGTTACAAGGATTTCCAGGAACTACTCTTGGTCAGGCTTTGTCCCAGAAAGGTGTATTAGCAACTGGCTGTGCCCTTGGCTCATGGCTGATCCTCTCAGATGGTAACCATGAGCCTACTAGTCTTAATTCTCTATGCAAGACCACAGTCAATGTCTTCACCATGGACTCCTTTATTAACTTGGCCTCAAAATTCATTCCTCAGAGTGTAGAATTTATTTGAGGAAAAACAGCCAGCCATATCCTGTGGGCACTCCGAGGATTGGCTGACAGGAGCTGCTTGGTTGGGGGATGGGCTGGGATGTGGAGGGCCCTAAATAACGATAGCATAATAAAAGCCATCTTAATATCCCTACTGTATTCCCAGAGACTAACATTTAGTTAACTTTCTATTTGTCTGTGCCTGCTTATCTTCCTGTACAGCATATTTTCAAGGCCTGCAGTCCAGGCTCTCCCACCCTTCTGCCTCCTGGCCTGTACTCCAGACTCCCCCAGCTGCAGACTTGTGTCCTTGGAACATACCCTGCCAAGGAGAACTTCTGCTCCCCCGCCCTTCTGCTACCTGCCTTCCTGAAGCCCTGTTGGTACTTTCAATAAACGAGACTTGATCAGAATGCCATCTTGTCTCCGTCTCTCGTGTGTCTTGTCCCCCCATTCTCCCTCCCTCCCCTAGGGTCCCCGTTAACTGACCCCAAGGGCCGGGGCACTGAGAGAGCAAGGCCCTCAGCTGTTCCCATCCGGGACCCTGTGGTTGAAAACAGCCCATTGGCCCACTCTGAACAAATTCCATGGCACCACTGCAACTCTGTCGCTGGGAGCCTGTCCCTACCTGCTTCAGCTGGATGGTGATGACCATGTGGGACCGGCTGCTGCTGGCATTCATGTTGGTCGAAGCTGTCATCCTGATTTTGGATCCCTGCTCCATCAGCTTTTCAATTTGTGCGTAATTCTCACAAGGCACCCACTTCAGACCTTCCACAAAAAAACCCAACTGTTGGTCTTCCCTGACTTTTAACCCTCCGGGTGTCTTGGTTCTGGACAGCAAATCTCTTATCTGTAGGAGGAAAGAGAAGAATTGGTATACAGTTCGTTTCCTTCCTTATCACTGTAATCCCCAAATAAGCCTTTCCTTCTATGAATTGCCTTGCTGTGGCGTTTTACCACAGCAAAGGAAAAGTAAGACAGCTGCTGTGTGCTAAAGCATAGAATGTGAATGCAGGGACTCCAGCCAGCCGGGGCCTGTTCAGTACGGCTCCAGCAGGCCTTGGGCTTCTCCCCCAGCCCCTCTGCCTTGCTACAAACCCTTAGATCGCATTCCTAAAGCTGCCACCAAGGCCTATTCCCCTATCTGTTCACTTCCTCCTCCTGACTACCAAGGCCCAGTATCAAAGAATTGAAGTCCAGCAATCAAAAGCCCCCTTTGGCTACCCTAATTAACATGCCCAATGAAAATTAAACACCTCACCCTAACACAGGGGTTCCCCTTGTACCTTTATAAACCGCCATTTGCCTATGGACCACGTCTGCCTCCTCTCTATTCAGAGGCAACCCTTTGTCCCTCCATAACAACCACTCCTTCCCCCTCGCCCCTGCTCCCTCCCCCTTCTCCCTCATCCTCTATCTCCTTCTTTGTCTCTTATTCGATGCCTCTGTCCCTCTGGGGCAAATAAATCTCCTTGTGCTCAGGACTTGGTCTTGGGGTGTCTTGAGCTGACTCTGAGGTTCTCTTCAGTGAAGAACAAGGGGTTTGAGATGGTGATGGAGAGGCAGGAGCTACATTTAACACAGGGTGACCAGGCACCAGAGCCCTCGGTGCTAGTAATCCATGGAGTCGCTCAGGCGTGTATGTTGGTAGCATAGGCTCTCGGGATGGGTGGGGCTCAGTGACAGAGCCTGTGTTTAGGATGTGCTGGGGCCTGGGTTTGATTCTCAGCATTGAGAGAGATAGAGAGACAGAGAAAGGCAGACAGACACACAGACACAGAGAGAAGGAGACAGAGATTGAGATAGAGACAGAGAGAATGTTACCTGTTCATTGTAGATTTCCAGCATGCTAAACATGACCTGTAGAAAGAGCAGTGTGTCAATGTTGTCCTGAGTTCAGGAATGATGTAGCAATGACATAAATATTCAACAAAGGAAAAGGCTAACTAACATTAACTATAATAGACTGTTTCAAACTGCCTAGTTCTCAAGGAATTTTACGGCAATGGAAATTCTCTCAATATAAATTTTCAGAAGACACAGAACAGGGAATCTGCTCAGAGGGTAAGAACCTGGCTGCTCATGCATGAGGACCTGAGTTTGGGTCCCCAGAACCCACACACAAAGCCGGGCATGAGCATCTTTACCTATGGAGGAGCAGAAACATGCAAACCCTGCTGTACCAAACTGCAGGCTTTTGTTGTCTTTCTCTTTAGTCTGATTGCTGTCATCTAGAACAAGCAGAGACAAGGACTGTGCCTCCAGGTGTTTACTGACAACCCCCTAACCTATTTCAGAGACAGTCACATCAATGACTGCCACCAACATTCAATGGATCCAAAGTTTGCTCTGAAATCTTCTGTGTGGGGAACAGAAAGGCCACCCTTGGTGCTTGGGTGTAATTCAGGGGTGTAGATCACATGTAGAACAGAATGTGTGCTCATGCTTGCATCAGACTGGGTTCAAGTCCTATCACCATATATGACACATAAATATGTACCTATTTTAGGACACACGAGTAGTTGCCATTTTCTTTTCTTTCCTAAGCACCTGACATGTAACCTGTTTAAAAGGTTTTGCAGTCTGCACCTGTTTTACTGTGCATCCGTGGCGTTCTCTGACCACATTAGCCAAACCTTTAACTGCTAAGCAGAAGCTAGGCCCTCTTCCACCATGCATCCCTGTCTCTGGCGGTTGGCTCCACCCACTCCCTAGGATCAGTGAGAGCCAAGCTTTACCCCCCCCGGGGGGGGGGCTGACCAAGAGCTGCGTTTTCCTGGGACCTGTGTTTAACTGAGAGCAGCATTTAACACCCTCAGCTCTAGGAAGTTGGTTCCCACACTGTGGCAGGCATTCTTTACTTACCTTGTTGTTTCTACTTAGTGTGCACAACAGCGCCTCTTAAAGGAGCCGTATTCCCACCCCCACGCCCAGGCTTTTGCAGGCCCCTTGTGGAAATTTGGGCTCAACATTGGACGACAATGTTGTTTTAACTTCAGCCTCAACCTACTGCCGTCTCTCTCGGCCCGCAGCAGTAACTCTGCAGTTACCAGCCTATTTAATTAGCAGTGGCCCGGCCACTCGGGCAGTAGCCTTGGGGAGAATTCTGCTCCCACGTGCACCACCCTGTCGCTGCCCCTAAAGGTAGCTTTAACTAAATCTCTGATATTCAGTTATGAATAAGACTTGAGATAATGGTTGGGGTGAAAACCTGCGAGCTCAGAGAGGCTGAGTAGCCACTAGCTAACGCTCTGTCCTTGCTGGCAGCGGCAGAAGACCCATGTTTCCGATTTGACAAACGGAAAACCCTGTGCTACTCCAAACCACACCCTGCTACTTCCTGTGTCTCTATCCTGGAAGGCCTCTGAGACTGTATGATTACTTTCTGTCAACTAGTTGCTAACTCAGCCTCCCGACCCAAGGTTATTTTATTTAATTCACACACACACACACACACACACACACACACACACACACACACACACACACACACACACACACACACACCTGAAAATACAAATGCTGGTGCCTTCCACTTGTGGAAAATGAAAAGGTGCACTTCCCAAGAAAAAAGATTCTAGAATACGGATGCATACCTGGGGTTCTACGTTTTTCTTCTGCGTCTTCATAGCTTGGAAGAGCTCTTCACACACTCTTGGAATTATACCCTTGTTTGTGCCAAAGCCAATCATGGAGTAGCTTTTTCCAGAGCCAGTCTGGCCGTAGGCCAGGAGAGTAGCATTGTAGCCTCGCCAGGCATTGTCTAGAATTCCCCTTCCAATGTCATGGAACACATGGATCTAGAAAGGAAATTGTGTCACCAGTCACCCTGCTGTATCCAAATCTCAAAGATTCCCCAAAGACCACCAGGGAAACAGACCCGTTGAACTGAAAAGGCAAGGTTTATTCTTCATCCATCCCTGGCATTGTCTTGTTACTTGCAGATGGCCTGTTGTTCATAGACACCAACAGTTTTCAGACTGTATCCTGGAGACTACAGTCCCCCCCCCCCTGGAGTTTCTTTTGTGGCCAAACAGTTCCCAGGAACCAAGTGTCTAGGAGTTTGGTGGGGGATCTAGAGTTTCTTTGTGTTCAGTTTTGGCTCTAGGCTCCAGGAGGCCAGGGGATCTTTGTGTCATGTGCTGAGTCAGAGGCCTACATGTCTTTTTTGTAGCCTGTCATGGCTGCTAAAGCATGGTGCTGAGGGGGGGTCTGGTACCTTCAACCGTGGCTCTAAAGCATTTCCTCAGCACACATATGAGCGTGTGCACACCCAACACAGACCCCTCCACAGAACTGTGGTTTGTATCCAGGGTGCCACCCAGAGGCTCATGTGTCAAAGCTTTAGCTCCCAGGTTGGTAGTTCTGGGAGGCTATGGAAACATACCAGTCTCTTTCTGTCTTTATTTCCTGCATGAGATCTGCAGTTTTGCCTCCCCCTACCCCAGCACAGCCTGCTGTAATCATTACTTCACCACAGGCTGAAAAAGCAATTGGCTAGTACCTACGGAATGAACAGAGTAAGCCTGGACTCTTCAAAGTGATTATCGAGAGTATTTTTTTTATACTAACAGAAAGTTGCCTAATGCATACACCCTTAAAAGCAAACCTCCCCTCAGTGCTCAGTGACCACTGAAGAAATAAGAGCCAGAGGCCAGGGAGGACCCGAGCAAAACAGTGCTTTCAGGACACGACAGGAAGCTGCACTCATGAACGCATAAGACCTGCACAACAGCAAGCCAGCCACCACGCCAGCACAGAGTGGGGAGGGGCTCATGAGCCCCACTTCCAGTCCAGGGGGTAATTTTCTTTAAGGGTGTGAGCCCTGGTAAGCTGAGAGGCTACCGTCAATGGTTCCACACTCCTGAAAATTGGTCTATATTGAGGGGGGGGAGAGAGAGGGAGGGAGAGAGGGAGGGAGAGAGAGAGAGAGAGAAAGAGAGAGAGAGAGAGAGAAAGAGAGAGAGAGAGAGAGAGAGAGAGAGAGGAGGAGAGAAACAGGAATAAAGGACAAGAAATTGGGAGGATGGAAGAGTGGGGGTGGATCTAGGGGGAGTTTAGGGGGAGGAGAGAGGGGTGAATAACATAAAAATGCAATGTACCTATGCATGAAATTCTAAAAGAATTAATAAAGATGTGTTATAAACTGTTTAATTTTTATTATTTTATGTGCATGGGTGTTTCGCCTACATGTATGTTTGTGCACCGCATGTGTGACTGGTGTCCTTGGAGACCTGGAGAGAGCATCAGATCTGGAACTGGAGTTACAGACAGTTGTGTGTGGCCTGGCACTGAACTCAGGTCCTGTGGAAGAACAGCCAATGCTCTTAACCACTGAGCAGCCTCTCCAGCCCCTAAAAACATATTAAAACAACAATAACAGCAAACTTTTAAAACCAGGCATGATGGTAGAGCACTTTGGGAGATAAAAGCAGAAAGGAAACATTTTTTTGTTTGTTTGTTTTGTTTTTGTTTTTCGAGACAGGGTTTCTCTGTATTGTTTTGGAGGCTGTCCTGGAACTCTCTCTGTAGACCAGGCTGGCCTCGAACTCATGGAGATCTGCCTGCCTCTACCTCCTGAGTGCTGGGATTAAAGGTGTGCACCACCAATGCCAGGTAGGAGACATTTTTAAAAATGGAATCAAAAGATATTTGTACCACAAATGCTCAAAAGGCAGGGTGTGGCTTGGCTCCTTTTTTTTTTCTGGTCACTGCAGCAAAAGTTCTCAAAGAATAAAACAGGGAGAATCATGGAATCCATTTGTCACAATATATACATTTATGGAATTTTAATTCTGAGAAAGACATACACACCAATATAGTATGATCTACTGAGGGAAATTTTAAAATAACTAATTTAAATACTATTTGCTTCTAGCCGGGCAGTGGTGGCGCACACCTTTAATCCCAGCACTCGGGAGGCAGAGGCAGGCAGATCTCTGAGTTTGAGGCCAGCCTGGTCTACAGAGCAAGTTCCATGACAGCCTGAGGTACACAGAGACACCCTGTCTAAAAAAGCAGAAATCAACAACAAAATACTATTTATTTCTCATAGAAAAGAGTAAAAAACTGCACATGCCTTTAATCCCAGCACTCAGGAGGCACAGGCAGGAGGATCTTTGTGAGTTTGAGGCCAGCCTGGTCTATACAACAAGTTCCAGGCTAGCCAGGGCTATGTAGAGAGACACTGTATCAAAAAACAAAACAAAAGCAGCAATAAAGAATGATTGTATTATAAGGGCTGTGTGGTCTCTAGGGTCAATGGAATCTGACCTATAGTTTTCAAGAACACCTTGTCTTTGTTTTTACTCAAAGCATATGTGAATGAAGTTATCTGCAGATCTTTTGTTTATTTTTACTTATGTGTGTGTGTGTGTGTGTGATTGTGTGCAGGTGCCCTTGGAGGCCAGAGGGGGGGGGGTGTTGGATGCCCTGGAGCTGGAGTCACAGGTGGTTGTGAATCATTCAGCACAGGAGCTGGGAACCAATCTCTGGTCCTCTGCAAGGGCAGCCAGTGCCACTCACTACCCAGTGAGCATCTGTCCCGCCCGGTTGTGTAGCAGTTACTGGGTAAACCTCAGGAGTGATTGCCAAGCTTAGTCATTTTGCTTCCTTCCTACTTGACACTATTGGCATCTTAGAGAATTTTGTTGTTGTTGTTCTTAGTTACAGTTTTTATCTTTTATTTATTTTGTGTGCATTTGTGTGTTGGAAGTATGTGTGTGCTTGCCACAGTACATGTGTCGAGGTCAGAGGGCAACCTGTGGGAGTTGGTTTTCTCTTTCTACCATGTTGGTCCCAGGAATTGAATTCAGGTCATCAGACATGGTGCTGGTGGCAAGTCACCGACCCTTGTCCTCAATTTTTATAAATTGAGACTTTCAAATAGTATACAATTTTGTTAAGTCAAGTCCTGGGTAGAGAGTAGAATCGAGTGGTGTCGTCTTCCACTGGGATACAGTGCGGATAGCATCTGCATGCTAAAGTCTCGTGCATCTGTGAATTACATTTCCACTTCTTCCCATCCATCATTGTATGACAGAGGGAAGATTTCCTTCATTTGTACTTCATTGCTAATAAGCTTTCCATTGTTCTAATACCCAAGATAATCAGTTTATAGAGGGAAGACTGGTTTGGGCTCATGGTTTCAATGCATGCTCGGTTGGCCCCATTGCTATGGGTCTGTGGTGACACAATGTGGCATACGACAGAGACTGTCTCCTGAAGCTAGAAAGCAGAGTGTGAGAGGAGGGGCAGGAGACCCCACATTTCCTTCAAGGACACACCGTAGGCTGAGGAGAAAGGCGTGGCATTCACAGGCTTCTGAGGTTTGGAACTCAGGTTGTCACGCTGCAGCAGCAAGTGATTAATCAACTGAGCCATCTCCCTGCTCTGGCATGCACAGAGCACTTATAGTGCATCAGAAAACAAAACACAAAACACAAGCCTACCTTTGAAGTTTATAAGCGACTTACCTGGCCTGCAAATTTACTAGTTGGATTGGATGGAATAAGGACACCATCTTCGTCCTTTTGAAATCCGTCATGAGACCAGTAAGCCAGGTCAAAGGTAAAGGTCTTCAAGCATCCTCTGTTCTTAGGGTCTCGGATAGTGGTGCTTTGGGAATGCATGGAAATCACACATTGGCTTCCAGAGTTCTTCTCTCTCTATAGTCAGGTTAAAAACTCAGAATCAGTACATTCTGGCTAGAATCACTTGTCCAGAACACTCATGGTAGTTTGAATGAGAATGACTCCATAGGCTCGTATTTGAATGTTTGGTTTCCAGATGGTATGGCATTGGCTTTTGAAACCTCAAAGCCCATCCAAAGTGACCTCCTTCAACACGGCCACACCCACTCCAGTTTCCATTTCTCTGCCTTTAATTTGCTGATAGGATGAAAACTCTCGACAGGCAGGCAGTGGTGGCGCACGCCTTCAATCCCAGCACTCAGAGGCAGAGGCAGGCGGATCTCTGTGAGTTCAAGGTCAGCCTGGTCTACAGAGTGAGTTCCAGGAGAACCAGGGCTGTTACACAGAGAAACCCTGTCTCAAATCTTGTCCCCCAGCCCCTCCCACCCAAATGCAGGCTCTCAGCTACTACTCCAGGGCCATGCCTGTCTGCCATGTTCCCTGATGTGATGGTCATGACTCACCCCTCTGAAACTATAAGCAGCCCCCAATTAAATACTTTTTGTTATGTGTTGCCTCAGCCATGGTGTCTCTTCACAGCAATAGAAAGCCTGATTTATAAGCCCTGTTCTCTGACCAGAGTTGTAGGACCTGCCCAGGTCCATGCTTCTGCTAGTGAGGCTCACTCTGCAACCAGTCTCTACTGCCTCCTTCTGTTGAATGGCACCACATGGCCAGTTCTCATATAATGGCAAGCCAACCAGAAAACTGAGGAACTGGACAAGAGAATAGAAGGTTGAGCAAGAGGGTACACAAGGAAGATACATAATTCCGTATGGGAAGGGGGTCCTGTGTATGGTCCTAATGAGTACATATGTGCCCCAAAGGAATTGCTGGTTTTTGAAGAGCTGTTTGCCAAATTCCAATTGCACTACTGTCAAAAGCAAGGTCAGTGTCTTGTTACCGTAGTGGGTTGTTTCTGTGGACCGGATGGTCACCAATGTCCAGATGGCTACGGGCAAAAGAGCTGAAAATTCAGAAGAGTTACAGCCTGCATAATGCTGGGCGACTGGAAGGCTGGGACACGGAGGAAAGAATCCCAGCGACCAGCTGTGTGCAGGAGGTAAAAATGAGAGGAGTCGGGGAACTGGCACCGCATCAACGCATTGAAGGGAGTGAGGACAGAGGCCCCACCTTCTTCTCCTGTTCCTTGCTTTTCTGTGACGATTAACACACAGGTGTAGAATGCACCAATGGAGACAGAAATGGGGATTGTTCACCGACTGTGGCAGGATTCCTAGACAGCTACCAAAATCTTTTTGTTTTTCAAGACAGGGTTTATCTGTGTAGCCCTGGCTGCCCTGGAACTTGCTCTGTAGACCAGGCTGGCCTCCAACTCAAGATCCATCCGCCTCTGCCTCCCCAGTGCTGGGACTACAGGTGTGCACCACCACCACCTGGCTAACAAAATCTTTTCAACAAGTATTCCTGAGAACCTTGCCCGCGTGAGTGAGTACACTCTGGAATATAGGAATGGCATTTCTGTGAGAGGAAATGGGGCTGAGAAAGGAGTAATATTACTCATCATCTGGCCTGAGGAAGAGCATATGGACTGCCTGCCAGATCCAAGGAACTTGGTCCATGGTAGAATTGATTGTTGTGACCATAAAAGAGGCCTGGCCAAATAAGAGGGGTGTGTCAGGGCATGGAGGAAGTCTTGAGTATTTTGTGGGAACTGTGCATGGATGGGAGAAACCACTTATGCCCAGGAGATTCCAGGACCCGGGAAATCCATTTTTATAGTATTTTGTTTTATTATTAGTGTGTGTATGGTGTGTGTTTGTGGATCAGAGAACAACTTTTGGGAGTCATTTCTCTCCTTCCACCCTGGGTTCCAGGGGTCAAACATGTTACTAGGCTTGTGCACAAGCTTTCACCCACCAAGCCATTTTTATGGATAGAATGAAAAATGAACTCACCAACTACCTCCTAAGAATGGAGACCCCCACCCCGCTCCCCACCCGCTGTTCATGCGATGGTTTTAAATGAGAACAGCCCCGACAGGCTCACATTTGAATGCTCAGACCCTAGTTGGTTGATCTGCTTGGGACTAGGAGCTGTCACTCACGTGAGCTTGGAGGTTTCAAAAGTTCCCATAATTCCAGTTGGCTCTCCCTCTGCCCGTGGTTGTCGTGTCTCTCAGCTACTGTCCCTGTGCATGCCTGCCTGCCTGCCTCTGCTGACAAGCTCCCTGCCATGCTGGCCAGAGAATGCTGCCAAACCCTGGAACCATGAGTCCCCAAATTAAATGCTTCTTTTTATAAGTTACCTTTGTCAAAGTAAGAAAAGTAACTCAGTCCCGCTTTTGTGAGGACAAGGCTACTGATGGTCTTTGAGAAACTGTGTACACATTGTCATAAAACCTGGTGAGAGGAAGAACAGGCAAAAATGAAAGGGAAATGGGGGGAGGGCGGGTGGCACTTGGATTAGAAAACAGGAATGGTGTGGTGTGATTTGCTCCTTTCCTGAACTCCAGGAAAAAGATAACCCAATGTGATTTCGGTAGCCTAGCAGATGGCAAATAGGCCCAAACCATAGTTCTCACCTTTCCCTAAGCCACCCCATAGAACATGAGACTTCTTGTAGGGTAATGAGATGGGTGGCCAAGTCCACGTTATTAGTAGAATCAGGATTCTATCTCAGAATAAGATTTAGAGGGTGACACAGTCCTCCCAAGGAAACTCACTATGTCACTGGGACTACAAAGACAAGGAGCCCACTGCTCTGCTGGATACAGGTGTTGTAGGCACATGGTCTCATGTCAACTGAGGATGCTTTCCAGGACCATGTACAGTAACAGGTGGTGAAGGGGCTAAGACCATCAGAGAAAAACAAGTGTTCTGTTCCTGGGAATTAGGAGAACACCCTCATTCTATTTTGTACTAATATCCCTGGTCCCCGAGAATATTCTGGGGGTTAGGCAGAGACATTACAGACTTAGGAAAATTCTCCTTCCTCATGTAGTGTGAGGTCTATGTCCACAGTATGAGCTAATGAAAACAGGAGCCACGTGGGATGGTCTCCAAGAGAAGCATTTAAAAAGGCGCACTGTGACATTCCAGGCTCCAGGAGGTAACCTCTCACCAGGGCTATCAGTCAAATTAGTTGCCATTCGTAGGTTCATGAGCTGGGATCCAGTCAAGAACAGAAAAGTACCTCTAGGCTTAGGAAAGGTGCAGCAAATGCACTGGCTGCTTTATTAGATGTTTGTGTGTTTTGCCTGCATGTGGTATGTGCACACCTGGTGCCTGAGGAGGTTGGAAGAGGGCATCAGCTGCCCTGGAACTGGGGTCATGGATGGCTGTTAGGCCCGCATGGGTGCTGGGAACCGAACCCGGGTCCTCTGCAAGAGCAGCCAGTGCTCTTAGGGACTGAGCCATCTCTCCAGCTCCCTGGATACTACCCTTCAGAATTAGCATTTCCTGGCAGCTGTATAACAACTGGTCACAGTGAGCAAAGACAAGCACACCTTACTGAAAAGGGTGGAAGGCAGGTTCCAGTTGTAACGACAGGTACAGAGCAGCTCTCTACCTGGCAAGCCCATTACAACACAGTATCCTCTGAGTTCCCCACTACTGCAGAAGGGCTTAGGACCGGAGGCTTGACCTGGGTGGTACGGACAGTGTGCCTACAAATGCTAAAGTAGGATGGGACACAGCCAAAGGGAAGGGAGCCTTGTGCGCATGAGATCAGGAGCAGCATTGTTCCCATAAAAGGCTATAGATTTGCACACATCCATTAACATGAGTGTGGCCTGGTGTGGTCTCATTTTGACTTAGCTCTCACTTCTCCTACATCAGCATTATGTTGAGATCACTGACCACATAGCAAGACCTACTTTAAGGCAAAATGACCGGGCGGTGGTGGCGCACGCCTTTAAACCCAGCACTTGGGAGGCAGAGGCAGGCGGATCTCTGTGAGTTTGAGACCAGCCTGGTCTACAGAGTTCCAGGACAGCCTCCAAAGCCTCAAAGAAACCCTGCCTCAACGCCCCCTCCCCCCCCCAACCCCCCCAAAAAACCAAGAAGACAAACTGTTTTGGGTGGTTGAGACAGGGTTTCATGTAGCCCAAACTGACCGTGAAAGAACAAGACTGCCAAGGAAGACAGCTAAGTCGTCAGCCTCTCCCTCCTCATGCTGGAATCCCACATGTCACCATGCCTAGTTTTGCAGACTGTTGGTGAGCCACCCTAAGGATTCATGCAGGGTAGGTGAACGCTATGAACTTAGCTACACCTCTGCCCTCACACATGTGTTAAAAGCAGACACCACACATTTTTACGTACAAAACTGCACTGGGTTAAATAATTATTAACTTGACAGTATTTCTTGTGTCAGTATTTTATTGTGCTACTTGTACCAAGGAATGAAATTGTTTACTAAATTATGCTCAGATCTTTGTTATTCATTTGACAAATTCATTTAAATAAGTTTAGTATTTCATGAATGACAAGCAGCTTAAGTACAAATTCAGCAACTGTTATTAAAAAGTGAATAAAATCAGGCAGTAACTGTCAACAAGGCAATGACCACAGACTGACCTGGCTGAAAGGCCGCACCCGCACCGCCACTCTCACACTGTCCGCGCTCAGCACCGGCATCTCCCCCATCTCCCCGTTATCCATAGTGCTATTTGGTAGAAAAAGAACACACACAGCACACTGCTACACTTCACACAAAAACATACAAAGCTTAGCTGACAAAGGCAGTCTGTTTGCAGGGATCAATTATTAAGGGTCCATTCATTACACACTATCAATTACCTGTCATAAATTATTTGACAACACTTAATTATTCATGACTTTCATGGCCTCCGTCAAGCGCCATTGCTTGTGCACACTGACACTGCAGAAGAGAGCACTCTGTTTCTCCTCCACGCTCTTCTGCTCTGGTAATCTGCGCCTGAGTCCTGTGGGAATGGCAGCTTAACCTGAATACTAAGAGGCCTCTGTGATTCAGTAGCTTTGCAGCGCGGGCAGCCAGTCTAAAATTGGTCCGGACCCCTCTTCTCAACATCAGGCACACACCAGGTGTTCTGAGTTATCTGTAGCAGATATATTCACATTTCTTTCTCAAATTCTTTCATGAGGTTGCTAAGAAGCAGTGAACCGGTCAATCTAACCTGGATATAATTAGTCTCTGAATTGAGAGACAAGACAGTCTTTAAGTTACTGAACAAGAAATGCCAGCATTATAGTTAACCAATGCATTACTGGAAAATTTACTCTTGAGGTAGATTATACAAAATTTGTAAAACTACAAAAAGGCAATATCACATGCCCACAATCCAAATTCAACACACTATCAGGCAAAGCCCAAGGAAAGTACATGTAATGATTAGAAATCTGAATAACAGACTCAAAGTGCATAAATTATAAAACAGCAATTAAAAAAATAATCAGCAGTCCACCACCTCATTTGAAGACTGGTTCTAGTATCAATAGAGAAAGAAAATGGACAAATGTCTAGTAGCATATAAAATCACGACTAAGACAGAAATCCCCTCTCAAAAATCTAACAGACACACAGAATATACTTTACAGTAGTTTATTTAACATCCCAATAATAAGCCATATTTACATATTATATAAACGTATGAAGTTTTATAAAACGCCTGAACTAGAAGAACCCCACTCCATATGGAGCTACTTATTTACTTGTTTACAAAATTGTACAATTTATATAAATTATTTCCTTCCAAATCAGGTGACTTTTAATAATTCACACAAATACTGATGACTTTACAAATGCATGTTAAAATCTTGAGCTAAAAATTACAGCATTTTCCTGCGTAAAATTTGCTTTGGAAAGGAAGACAGCTTCTTTTTGCCCCTTCCAAGAGTTTTTCCTGCTGCTTCTGTCGTTCTTCTTGGTTTGTTGATCTTTACTTCATCAACTGGGCTTGCCAAAGGAGAAATCAGTTTAATTTCTACAGGAGGAGGTGACCAAGAACTTTCCTTTCCCGTGTTTCTGAAAGAGAGATACACTCAAGTAGAACAGCACAGTGTGCTGTCAAGCGCTTCACTCTGCAGACCAGGTGAAGGGAGCCAAAGCATAGCTGTGGGCTAATTGCAGGCTGGCTTAAGTGTCATCCCCCAGCCCGTCCCCACGTGTGCTGACATACTTAGTTACATATACACATAAAACATTGCTGTGTTACAAGCATGGCTCAAGTACCTATGGTTACTTCATGGGATGAGAGCCAGCAGGCCAATGGAACTCATAAAATTCCAACTGTAGCCAGGTGGTGGTGGCACACACCTCTAATCCCTGCGCTCAAGAGGCAGAGGCAGGTGGATCTCAGTGAGTTTGAGGCCAGCCAGGTCTAGTGCCGAGTATCAGGACAGGCTCCAAAGCTACACAGAGAAACCATGTCTCAAAAAACAAAATAAAACAAAGTTCCAATTCTGATGTTGAGTGTGATAGCTAACAAAATCCCAGTACTCAGTTAAGACAGGCAGCAGGATAGCTATTGAGTTTGAGGTTGGCCTGGCTTACTTAGCAAGTTCTAGTGTAGCCAAGGCTACATGTTCTAAAGACCTAGCCTAAGAAAAAGAATAAAATAAAATTCAGGGCTCAGCTTTTAGGTGTGCCACAAAAGGGATGGGGGCGGGGCAATACTCAAAAAGGGTAGCAACTGGTAAGTATATCATAAACACACTGACAATTTACATGTGAGCAGTGTCATTAGTCAACCGCATCATGTTTATTAATTTGTATGTTCACTAAATTTAGCCATGCACGAACATCTGTGAAACAAAGATGAGCTCAAATGGACTAATTTTATCCCAGACGCAGTAATACTGTCAGCAGTGAAACAGCTGTGGGACTTCAGTGATAAGGCAAACTGTCTTCTCTCCCAATCACATGCAGTGGACAGTGAGCTACCTTTAAGCCGCCCTTCTCTGCCCCACTTCCACACTGGGCCTCTACCGATGTAAAGCACTAGCATGTCTGAGAAGCGCCTTTCCTATGCCCCCTCCTAACTCCAGAGAAGGAGTGCAAAGGCTTACCTGCTTGCTTTTGTCTTCACAGTCCTGCTTCTTTTTGTTTTTTGTTCTTCTATGACTTCTAGTGGTTTAGGGTCACTCTCCTATGGGTTAAAAATTAGAAAATATAAATTGCCTAAGCAATTAAAATTTTCCTGTGTTTGATTTTCAAGACAGAAATTCTCTTTCTCTGTGTAGCCCCCTGGCTGTCCTGGAACTTGATCTGTAGACCAGGCTGGCCTCAAACTCAGAGGTGTCTGTTTTCCAAGTGCCAGGATTAAAGATGTGTACCACTGATTTTAAAAGTATCCTGCTGGGCTGGATGGTGGTGGGGCACATCATTTTTTTTTTTTTTTTTTTTTTTTTGGTTTTTTCGAGACAGGGTTTCTCTGTGGCTTTGGAGGCTGTCCCCAAGTGCTGGGATTAAAGGCGTGTGCCACCAATGCCCGGCTCGGGGCACATCATTAATCCCAGCACTTGGGAGTCAGAGGCAGGCGGTTCCCTGAGTTTGAGACCAGCCTGGTCTCCAGAGCCAGTTCAAGGACAGCCACAGCTAGAGAGAAACAAAAAAACAAAGTATCCTGCTCAGTTAAGGAGTCTTGCAAGCATCACTAACAGGTCCTACACGGGCCCCTCTAGTTCTTTAGTAGGAAAGAACTGTTCTTTTTCTCCCTTCCACAGGCACCATTCTCCACGTCTTGTCACAATTTCACTTGGAATGCTCCCACCGCCTGCTCCCTTGAGGTAATACAGCTTCAGCTCTAAGTGCAGGCTCTCACCATCTTGAAGGCACTGGGTCACCAGAAATGGGTTTCCTCCTTCCCAGAATACTTTCTACAGAAATTACCTGAAACCTACATGTCTACTCGGTAGCCACTGCCCTGCCATGCTTAATTCCTGAAACTTTTGCTTTTATGACAGAAAGTTCACCCCCCATCCCTATATATGCAGAGTTAGTATTAGGGCTGAATGACTTTATTCAAACTAATTACTCATTTTTGTCAATTAAACTGCATTTTAAAGATTTATCTATTATGCATACAGTGTTCTGCCTGCAAATGCCTACAAATGGTTGTGAGCCACCCTGTGGTTGCTGACAATTAAACTCAGGACCTCTGGAAGACTAGCTGTTGCTCTTATCCTCTGAGCCATCTCTCCAGCCCTGAACTGCATTTTATTCAACTACCAGTTGAATTATTTGTTGTAGAATATTATTTTAGGGTGTGTTGCATCTGGAACATTTGTTTAATGATGTAAAGATGTGTTACTTTTGGTTTTGCTGCATTTCTCTAACTCTGTGATTCTTTGCCTGTCTAAAACACCTGATGGTCTAATATAGAGCTGAATAGTCAATACCGACGCAGGGGAAAGTGTAGGTGGGGCTGGCAGGCAGAGTGTAAACAGAACGAACAAGAAGGGAGAGGAGGACATCAGGGGTCAGCCACCCAGTCAAACTCAGTAAGAGTGAAAGTAAGACATACAGCAGTAAGAAAAGGTCAAAGTCCAGAGGCAAAAGGTAGATGGGATAATTTAAGAAAAGCTAGCTAGAAACAAGCCCAGCTAAGGTTGGTTTGGGGAGGTGGGGTGGGGGGGAGGTGGGGTGGGAGGAGGTTTCGAGACAGGGTTTCTCTGTGGCTTTGGAGGCTGCCCTGGAACTAGCACTTATAGACCAGGCTGGCCTCAAACTCATAGAGATCCGCCTGCCTCTGCCTCCCGAGTGCTGGGATTAAAGGCGTACGCCACTATGGCCTGGTAAATGATAATAGGTCTTTCCAGGTGTGTGATTTATTTGGGAGCTAGGTGGCTGACCCTCAAAGAGTAAACAGTAAAAAGAATAAACAACAACAACAATAACATTTTGGCACCCAACAGGTGACTAGAGTTAAAGGAAACCCAGCTACATTTTGACGTATTATTGTGGGGCTGTATTTCCATGTGGGGTCTCATCTGAGAGGGCTGGGGAAAAAAAGGGGGGTTATGGATCCTTTAAGAGTTTCTGCCAGATCTGAAGAGTTTTTGATATCAGAAATGGAGATGCATAGTTTGGAGTTTGCCCAGCTGGTTTTTGGTCTTGCCCTGGTCCAGTATTTCCGTGCTATGCCATTAATTACATGCATGATTTTATGTACCTATATAAAATCTAAAAACCACATGAGAGAAAACCAGGTTTCTCCTTTTGGGACTGTGATCGCCCATGTTTTCCTGAAAGTGGCGTAATTTCCTCCTCTGTGTCTGAAAAGCAGTGTACTGTGTGTGCGCACCACATCTCCATCCATTCCTGTACTGCTAAGACAGTCAGGTTGGTTCCTTACTTTGGTATTATGACTAATGCTGCAGTAACATTGATATGCTTGTATTTTCAGTTATGATAAAGTCATTAATCCTAAGAGAAGGAAGACATTCTATTCATTTTCTTAAAAGCTTAATGTAAAAGAAAATAACTTTATACTGATTGTATATAAAAAAAATAAACATAAATCCCCCCCCCAAGACAAGGGGTGTCCTGGAACTCACTTTGTAGCCCAGGCTGGCCTTCAATTCAGACATATGACTGCTTGTCTCCTGAGTGCTGGGATTAAAGGCGTATGCTACTACACCTAACTAAAAGTAAATATAAACTTAAACAAGTTTCTGCC